GGATGTTCTGTGAATGGGTCTAATACTGCATCCAAGTCTAACTCTACGGGGCGGTTGCGTAACTGGTCGGAATCGTTGTCGGTAGAAATCACTCCTCAACTGCGTTGTTTTTCATTATGATAACACTTTGTAACCGAAACTAAGATATTAATATAAAAAAATATTTATCTACATATGAGTAACATAATATAATAATATACAATGTTTAATTACCACTATCAAAGAAATGAAAAACTAAAAGTATGAAACAATCTTTTTCTGTGAAAAGTTCCAAGAATGATGGCTACGTCCCCTGGATATACTTAACTTTTACGGGAGAAAAGAACCAGCCCTCACATCTTCAGAGGCGATCACCAATCGCGTGGACCACACGAATTGATAGGTTCTTATAACAACAGCAAATGACACAAATAAATATTCATCTCCGAGTCTCATATCTGAAGAAGCATTTTTTTTTTATAGAATAAGGGTGATAAATGAGCACACAGTCCACCTGATAGTAAGTGGTTGCTGTGGCCCATAGACATCTACATCTATCTTCGTTTGCGAAAAAAATGCAGATGCGTTGTCAGCCGTGAGGACTGAGATAGAATGCCTCTTTTCCAGTAAAAAGAGTCTCCGGTTCTCTACACTCACCATACAAAACACAGCAGCATTAAGCTGCTACTTCACGCTGGTATTCTGTGAGAACGTGGTCCTTCCCCGGTCGAGTCGACCCATTCGTGCTACAACTATACTATTAATATAGCTGCAGCATGGCTCTACCACGCATAGATTTTAAGAATTTATAGAGAACTAGCTTTTTACCCGCGGCTTTGCTCGCGTGAGCTTGAAACTTGAACATCATTAAATACTGTTCCGTGCCTAATTTAGCAAAATTAGATCGCTTTTAGACTCACCTCGGTGTTTGTGTCTCTATGTCTGTCAAAGACTTTTTTTTTAATTTTAAAAGACAATTAGACGTAGATGATAGGTATTGGTCATAGATATAATGTGCCGCAAGAACATGTGAATATGTATTTCTAGAAACACCTACTATTTTTGTATTCTGATGTATATATAAGAAAGGTAAATTGTCTTGAAATCAAAATTTATTATTATTATTATTTAAGTTTTATTCTTTACATTCGTTAATAATTAAATTATAGTTTAAAAAATTATGACTTTCATGGTCTACTATCAATTTACGGTATAATGTTTAGTTGAAATATTTTATTCATATCATTGGTCCTATTTAATATTGATTTGTACCATAAAATAGATGTAGATATTTTTTTTGGTCGAGTATACTTCAAAATTTCATAAATGCAGTTCTTTAATGACACATACTACATATGGAATAAAACTAAAGTTACGGATTTTATCACGTTTAATTTTGTATTTATTTTACGTGGGGTTTTTTTCGCATCTTCGGATGATAATTTCATAAAAACCCACGTAAAAGAATATATCGTTGATGTGAAGCACCGACGCTCCGGAAAGTCTAAAGTATGTCAACATGTTTAGTATGGCCCCAACGATTATACCGGATCTGATAGTCAACAAATCCTTGCAAGAGAACACCGATGCCTACCAATGATGATTCGCTACTATCAATTTACGGTATACTGTTTAGTTGAAATATCGGATCTGATAGTCAACAAATCCTTGCAATAGAACACCGATTCCTACCAATGATGATTCGCGAGGCTATTTATATTAAAAAATGACCATCATAATTTTAATAGGAAAGATGACTGAGTGCTACCATCTGCTAAGGACCCCATAATTAATAAAATTAAATTCAAACTCAAGCATACTATTCTAACTATGACATCAGGTCGTCGAACACCTCAGTCTTCCCATGACCATGGGTGCTGTAAAGTACCCAAAACATTGGGAATTAAAAAGTTAAAATTAAAGGCGATAAAATCCTTAAAATTAGTTTTTTAACTTTAGTCCCAGTGAACATGCGTACTACTACACTCATGAATGGGAGTAGAAAAATGTTCCCCTTGTTGTGACGGTGAAAGAGATTCCGCCACATCATAACAACAATCCGGACAACCCAGCAATTTTTTAACATGAAAGCCCGTGGAGCCTTTATTTTTTTTATAAAACGTGAAGTGACAACTGAACTCACAGTCCACTTGATGTTAAGTGGCTACTACAATCTTTGAGCCTGAGATGGTCTACCTGTATTACTGTCGTTCTGTACCCTATAGACCGGAAAACAGCAGTCCAAGCACTGCTATTAATCGGCAGAAATAGGTAAGAGGATTATATTTATTATATATATTATAAGATTATATTAAAGAGCCTACTCCTTTTTAAAAGACCGGCTACGCATCTGCAATTCCCCTGGTGTTGTAGTTCATGAGCGGCGGTAGTCACTTACCATCAGGTGAACCGCATGCTCGTTTGCCCCCTCTCCTATAAAAAAAATACCTATTTAGACGGACTTCTGGGCAGAAAAGGAATGTTATCACCTAGTAAAGGATGAGACATTGTCGCTTTTAGACGAATTCCAGCGGCAATGCGCAAACTTTTGCCGTCAAGTATTCTAACGGAAAAAAGGCATTGGCTTATAATCGGTAATGGTAACCTACATTTATCTAATAAAACGAAACCAAGCATCATCCAACCATGCTACCAGACTAACACAATCACACTGCTGATCTTTATAGCATTCAAGTTACGTCACGAGCAGCACGTGCAGGCAGACGAGGACGATTATCACGTTAATTTGTTATGTATGTATTCAGACTTTCGACTTTATTTTTTAAATTATTTTTTTTATTCAAGAGCTGTAAAAGATAAGTTACAGCTACTCCACGCTTCGCTGATGTACCTCATCTTATTTCTGAGAGTTTTGGTGAATTTCACGTGTCCCTAAAATATTAAATTTTTAAGACATGCCGGTTTCATCAGGAAAGGATGTTTTCTTTTAACGTCGAGCACGTGGTAAAATTAAATCAGCACTTATGCAAGTAACAATTTCATTGGTGCCGGCCGGGTTGCATTGCACGCGTACCTACTGATAAATTCGGCGAATAGTTGTCTGAAATAATCTTTTAATTAACAAAAAAATTATATACTAAAATAATAAAATTTTAATTTTTCTTTTAAAACAATATATGTACACTTTGTATTAATTATTATCCTTAATATAAAAAAGTTAGCCAAAAATCAGTGATGTCATATTAAACTTATTTTTTTTTTAGTTTTAGCTATTATTTATTCTGTGGTTTTAGGGTGAAAACTGACAACTTTTGAAGCCAGCCACCTCGCAATCGACTTCTTAAAGAGGTTATCAACTGAGAGCTCAAATTCGACTGAGTAGGTATTTTTAAATGTAACACGATATCACCGAGTTCAATTTTGCGTTTTTTATTTTCATCACGAGATTATACTTTTAAAGAGGGCACTTAAATTTCGAGATTAGAGACTGTATCAATGATGCGCCACGAATTCGTGCGGCGCCTTGACCCATGAATTAATTTAGTCACAGCCAAACAGGATTACAATCTACGGTTACACAATTACTTACCTTCAGGTAGCGTTGTGATCACGCTCTGACTTGCTAAGTTAAAAGACCCCTTTTTTCGAGTGGTGTAAATTTTCCCGCACATGGCACCCTGATGGCTAAGGCCAGTTCTGATATTAATATTTCACCATCATCATTATTACAGCCCTTTACAATTCCACTGCTGTACATAGGCCTCCCGCAAGGAATGCCACAAGGCACAGTCTTGGGCCACCTGTATCCATCGATTTCCTGCACCCTAAGCAGATCGTCACGCCATCTAGTGGAGGGCCGCCTTACACTTCGCCTACTGGTACAGATTAAAAAATATATGAATAAAGACTGTTAATCGGAGATTGCTTGGAAAAGCTTTTAAGCGAAACGCACAGTAGGTAAGAATTGAAAATTATAACATATCAAAAATAAGCTTTTATCAATAATGAGTAAAGCGAAGAGTATTCCGAGCCGTACAGGATGGAGTGCGGGATGAGGCAAGGAGGGCTGACATCGCCGAGGCTCTTCAACCTGTATATGGACGCGCTGATTCGAGAGCTCGGTAGCATGCGTGTCAGCTGCCGTATCAGCAAGGCGCGTGTGAAAAATAACAGCTACGTGGACGATATGGTTCTGCTGGCACCCTCAGTTAGTGCGCTGAGAGCTCTACTCGGTGTTTGTGAAAAATTCGCTATATATTCGATACTATACAATACCAAAAAGTTGCAGTTCATGGTTTTTAAGGCTGGCAGTTAATGTCCTAGTGTTGTACCCCCTATAAAGCTCTATAACGGTCCACTAGAAAGGGTTTATAGTTTTAAATATCTTGAACATATTGTGACTGACAGACGATTAAGACATTGAAAGATAACGTAGAGCAATGTCGGTCAGGGCGAATATGTTGGTGCATAGATTTGGTCGCTGTATTGACGCTGTCAAGATCACGCTTTTCAAAGCATATTGTGCGTCATTTTATTCTTGCAGCCTATGGACCAACTACACCAAAAAGGCCTATAGTGCCATACGTACTCAATACAATAATGCATTCATGGCGCTGCCGCGCTACTGTAGCACGTCTACGATGTTTGCACTGGCGGGTGTCCACACCCACACCCGCACATCACAAATGATATCTTTGATGCAATAATCCGAAAAAAGACCGCATCATTGCTAAACAGAGTGCGCGGTAGCGGCCACAGTGTGAGAGTGAGATTGCCGACAGAAGATACTGTCCACTGATGAGACATATGATCGCCAGGACTATATCCTGCTTAATAATAAAGTATTAAGTATAAATTATATTACTAACATAGATGTAAGTTTTTCTCTACTAACAATTTCTATGGATTCAAGTTGTCCGAAATAAACAATTTTTATTTTTTATTCTTATTTATTTTATTTATAAATAAAGACTGGATACTGAAAGACATGATAATCTTAAATTAACAAATTTATGATAACACTTATAATTACTTAATAACTACATCATAATAGAGCTTATTTATTTTTCCAATGGTGCATAATTCAACAGCTTCTCAATTAAATCCACATGTCCAAGCAACATTCTACGGCAGCAGTATCTCTTTAGGCCCAGAGCATCCAGCGCATCACTAAAAAAAATACAAACTTTTTTACACACATACAAAAAAATATCAAATATGGATTCTATACTTATTCATTCATTCATTGGCCAATCTATGGGGGGACCATGAATTGCCTAATAGGGAGATATTTACGCACTTGGCAGGCGAGTTAGCAGTTTTTTTATATTTTTGAACTGTTATCAGGTCTGCTGCAGCCCATCTCCTGTTTCAGCTTCTCTCTGTCGCAACTTATGAGACCCACTTGATAAGTGGTAGTGAATTATCTTAAGCCAGCACTACATGACAGGAGCATTCTACTCTATTTAAAATTAACTTTCTTATTAAAACTATACACCTACATTTATTTTTCCTTTTTACTTTACAAATAAATAATATATATAATCATGAAAATTGTTAAATCAATATTTGAACAGAAAACCTCTACCTAACATAAATTTTAAAAAGAAATATGCTATTGGTGAAAATGCTTATAATTTACAAAACTCAACAAATTTATTTCTCCATTTTGTTCTATGGGTACTTAAAATTATTAATTTTGTACAACCAACTTTAATATAAATTATTAAGAATAACTCAAAAACAATTGGTCTGACATTGCTCAAATTTATATGGGACCACATGAGAGGCACCAGCTTTCAAATAAAAAGAGAATCATGGAAATCGGTTCATCCAGGAAAAAGTTATAGGTAACGCACATAAAAAAACATACACTCGAATTGAATACCTCCTCTTTTTTGAAGTCATTAGAAAAGAAGACTATATACTAATAACCCCTAAGTCATTCCATAAATCGAGTTGAAAGATTGTATTTATGTATTTCATTTTACTTAAAATATGAAACAATGTTATGCAGCAACTATGGTGTTACTTGCTAATCTAACTTACATTTTTCTTACTATGTATGTATGCAACATTTTACCAAAATAATGAACCATGTTAATGACAATAGCATGTAGGTGCAATTAATTTTATTTATTATTGATCTACTATCTGAATTACAAAGAAAAACTACATGCTTTATCTAAAACTTCATTCCAATAAGAAGCATAATGTACTGTTATTAAAATTATGATTTTCTCCGACATTAATGATTGTACAGAACAAATAAAATCATTTACCTCAATCTTAGCATTAACATTTTTGGGCACTTACAAGATAAGATTTGTCACTTTAAAACCGAGAGAGCATTATGCATGCTGATAAAACTCTATGGCAAAAATATTATACATTTTAGTTATAATAAAGATGCTACGGTCTATTCCCTGTTTCATATCCCTCTGCCACCTCTTACAACACCTATGGAATGATAAGGGGTCACTCAAAGCTGCAAGTGATAAACCCCCATATCCCTTAAATAATTACTAAAATAAAAACTCCCTATCCATATTATATTTATCATATAATAATGATAAATATCCCCCTATAAAGTAATCAATAAGAGAGGTCTGTACGTACTTTTTATAGCTTATGATGAATGAATAAAAGCATATTAATATTTACATTTTACTGTGGTTTTTTCTACTTTATATTGAATTAAGAATTCATCAGCAGCAGTTCAACATTGTGGAAAAAATAACAAAACTAGTTTTCAAGTAGTTGCACATAAGATTGTAATTTTATTACCCTAGTATCTCTGACACAGCACCCTAGCCTACTTATTGTGGCTATAGTTATAAATCGCATCAGTGAGAGGGAAAAGCATATCAGATTCATTACAATTTACAGACTGTCTTTACAACCCTTAAGAGATCTAGATAGTTTCATCATCACTACAACCCTTCACAGATCCATTGCTGAACATAGGGCCTCCCTTATCTCATTCACTCATCACTCCATCTAGTGGGAGGGCATTCTACACTTAGCTTACTGGTACGATGCTACCACTCAAAGAACCTTTCTTTTCCATTCTTTAAAGATTTTTTTATCTTTAAGGCTGGTTTAGTTATTGTAATTTTTAAAATTAAATCCATCACCTTATCTCATCCCAATGGTCCCATTGGTGTAAGAGCCGACTTACACTTCAACAAGTACAGTAGCAAGTTTAGTTAGAGGGCAATTGACAGTAAATAGTTAAGTGGGGAGTAGCCTTAAATGTCTTTGTGGCGAGGTTAGTTAAAATAAGTACAACTTTATATTTTGAGGATTGAACGCAAACATGTTGCGTCCTGTCAACTTATGCACTGAACTAAATTCGCTCATTCACACAAGCGGCGAGTTTAGTTGCGGGTGACGTGGGACGCGTGGGAGGACAACACTTCAAACTTTACCCTTGACCACCTACCACCTATTTATGTCACACAATCACCTGCCATGCGTCTTTGGGATACGGGAATAAAATACTCTAGTTTGTGAAATATATAAGAGTGTTTGTAATAACACAATTAATAAATTAAAAATAGTTTTAAACAAATTAAAAAAAGTGAATGACGAATTGTTCATTCAAAAAAGAAGGAACACAAATTAAGAATATTTCTTATAATCTCAATTACTTTTCGACATATCTTATTTCAAGCGTACAAACTAACATATTTGGAAAATTATATTTTTTAAACTAATCACATATAGTGGGAACTTCTTTATATATTTTTTTAATAATTTGAAGGTTAAAAATTTTTTGTTCCAGTTGCAGGCTCTAAACTTATAATTTTTCACAACAGTGAACATATAATTAATTTAAACATTCAAGGCAAATAGGTGTTTTGAATTCAAAACACATATATTGTGTTCTGCATGTCTTTTTAAAGTCACATGTTGAACAGTTTCTGTTAACCTTTCTTCAGCACTGGAACGGCTGATGAAGTAGTTTCCTCGTTACGGTGGAGGATGCGACAAAGAGAAATTTCTAGAATATAAATACCTATATTTTTTTTTTAATAGTGACCAACTGGAACACAGGCCACCTGAAGGTAAGTGGATGCTAATGCACATAGACAGTTATAAATATCTATAACAACTACGACCAAGACTGACTAAGAAGGAATGTATTTATGCTTTCTTTCTTTTTCCTAAAGACATTTCTTTAAAAAAATTGTGGTACACATACCCTTCTGTATATTCTGCTTGTAGTAAACCGAGGTATGCTTCCCATTTGTTGCCAATAACTTTACCACATGTAAAACATCGCACAGGTATAATCATTCTTTTAAATCTACAAAAAAAAAGACAGCAATAAATTAAAAACGTGCAATATTGTGATTTAAAGAAATAAGTGTTTAAAATTATATATTTTTATACAGTTAATTTTAAGATTCGTATTTAATTAGTATAAGGAAATTATAGTAGTAAAGTATTATGACTGTAGGTTAAAACTAAAAGAAAAGTTTTAGATAATATAGTTGGTGAGCATTGGTGAGGTTGTTATTATTAAATTTTGATATCAAAGATAAACACAAATATTTGTAGTAACACACTTTCAGGAATACATACTGCTTGGTTTTTTATGCAGTTTAGATACTCTACAATATGCTTACTTTGTTTTATATATAAAATAATAGACGAAAATAATCAACACAAATTTTGCTCACTTCAACTCACTTCGTTTTACTTTTTTCCAAAGTGACCAAAGAGTACAACTTCTAGTTTTGCTTGTTGTTGCTATTGTAGTGACGATTCGACAGTTTATCCAGGCAAAAGTCTTAGACCATACAGCCTTTACTGATGAGTATTTTGTTCACTGCGAGAACTGGACTGTTCGGGTTTGCAACACATTTAATAGCTAAAGTATTATTTCTTTGTTGCGCAATTTTATGAAATACTAGCTGTCTCCACGACTTCGTTCGCATAGAATAATTTTTAATAATTTATTATTATACTTCCCTATTTCAATCGGAGTTTGTTCACAATTTCATGTGTTTTAATTTTTATGTGTGGAACCCTAATTCTTTTTCTAAAATAAAAGTAAAAAAAGTAAAGTAAGTAAAAGTAAAATATACTTTATTGTACACCAAGGAACATATTACAGTATTATATTTAAAGAGACATTGGTACAACAGGTGGCCATATCGCTAAAACAGCGATCGCTTCCAGACAACCTTAGGGCAGAGGATACTATTTTAAAAGATGGCGGAAGGGGTGTACCGAATATAAATAGAAAGATAAATAGAAAAACATAAGTGATTAAAGGAAAAAAAAGTGAATGACGACAGGTAGTAACTTAAGAGGAAAGGTAATAAAGTTTTAATTTATTTTTAAATATAGGAAGAGATTTAGATTCTTTAATATGTAAGGGGAGAGTATCCCATAGTCGTACAGCGGTAACCGTAAAAGAATTAGAAGGAAGAGGAATGTCTAGGCGTACTTAGAAGGAAATTATTTTGAGATCGTAGAAGTAAAGAGTGTAAACTACTTAAATATATAAATCGGTCTTTCAAATAAGAAGGAGTGGTCGGATTGAACAGAATGCAGTAAAGAAGATGAAGAATGCGAGTATTACTGCGAAGGGTATTCGGTAACCATTTGAGCTTATGGCAGAATTCGAATATGTGGTCATACTTTCGTAACCCAAATATAAACCTTATGCAATAATTTTGAAGCTGCTCAAGTTTATTAAGTTGCTCGACTGTTAGGTCAAGATAACAAGTATCCGCGTAGTCAAGGATCGGTAAAAGAAGTGACTGAGCCAGCGCAACTTTAGTAGAAACGAGGAGAACATTGCGTAATCTTCGAAGTGAATCAACTGCGACAAACATTCTTCTGCTTATTGCACTCACTTGCGGTCCCCAAGACAAAGTCTGATCGAACTAATACCTAAATTCTTAATTTTGTCACTGTATGGGATAAGTATTTCTTCAATATGACTGGCGGGAGCAGCGACAAAGTTAACCGAGAGATTAATTTCGAACTCCCAATAATAATGGCTTGAGTCTTCAATGGATTAACTTTAAGCCCAAATGAATTACACCAATGAGAAATACGAATAAGATCTTCATTAATTTATCTAATTGTATTGGGAAGATCCGCAATCTTCCATTGAGAGTAGATTTAAAAGTAACATAATATAATCTATTTGCCAGTGAAAGTACCGTCAAAATATGTCCAGCTGTTTCGGAGATAAGCCGGAACAAAGAGACAGGCGGACAAAAGTTTTAAGAATTGTTTTTTTTTATTAAAAGAACTGTATAAAATGTCATGTGCATTTAGAAAAAAGCTGTTATTTTCATATTAAAAACAGACACTTGCCATTTCGTGTATTTGAATATAGATGCTTTGATTACCAACTGTGAATTTTTCTCGAATAAAACTACGATACCGTATTCGTTGATTATTTACAAAATTATAGCTTTGGCTTTACAACACGATATTTCAATTCAATATTGCGACTATATTATAATATAGTTTCACTCACAGTCTTTTGATCTCTTTACATATTGAATTGATTGATTTTAGAATTAATTGAGGTGGTTTGAAAATAAATTCATTTAGGTATTCATTATGATGATTGGTATTTGATTTTAAATAAATATGCAAAATGATCATTTATCTAACCTATTATTTTATTTTTCTAATTCAATTACTCTATTAATCACTTAAGGGTTTTTTTAATTTCAGGTCTTGCGGATTTCATTAGAAAAAACGGAACACAATGACTTTGAGTGTGAAACAGCACATTACAATAGATGACAGTCAAATGGTAATTTTCTATTATATTATTAAATTTACACACTTTCTATGATTCTGATTCTGTTTATGATTTTCAGCTTCACGCATCAGGAGGTGCTTAGTGCTATTTGCAACAAAAATATTTATAATACAAATTAATTATGTTAAGATAAGATATGAAACATGATTTTATATAACGCGGAAATAACAGATTTTATTTTACATACATTGCTTGCATCATAGATAAAAAAAAACAATTACTACCTAAATGTCTTTTTTGTGGCGTGTATAATGGGTTATTTTGCAATACCAGCTAAATTTGCAGAGAAGATTCAAAATAAGTAATATAAATGGTGAAGAAAAGTTAAGTAAAAAATGTCAAACATTCTATCGTTTTTATCTTTTTATATTAAAAGGCGAGGTAATACATTATTTTAACTGATTGTCATTCATAAAATAAATATCTAACGCCTACCATTTTACTACGCACGCACATATTCGTAAGGGTCTATCGGTCGGTAAAACGTTGTGAATTGAATCGCACACGGACGAGCGTGAGTATGCGTAGTTGTTGCCCATAAATCTTATTCCATTTGGGATAATTAGTTATTTACTCGTATTATTAGAAAACTGCAATAAGGGTTTATTTATTTATTATTATATATAAATTTTAAACTTAAGTTAAATTATTAATATATTTTAACTTAAGTTTAAAATTTGGCTACTCTGAAAAATAACCCTGTATTTTCGTTTATGAACATCAGATTAAGTAAATTATTCTCAAACTCACGCTCAAAATCAGAATACATGGACCGCTAAGAAGTGACAAGAGAGTCTGACGCCAACCGTACTTTGCATGCGTAGGTGAAGTGTGTAACCAGCGTAGAAGAGTCGCATCGCATAAGTTGCGAACGTGGGACCAGTCTGTCCCTACTATTATGTTTGCATGTAAAAAATTTTACGAACAAAATACACTTCAGAGTAACCTGTATGAGCATGTGTGTCTTTGCCTATAAGTAAAAAAAATCATTAAACGTCAACCTTTAGAGCTTCAGATTAGGGATGATCGATGTTGTGGATACATCGCTGATGACATCGATGTTGACATCGATAGCTTAACATCGATGTTCGAAGTTTATCCTATTCTAAACATCGATGTTGGCCATCATCGATGTTTTTTGCATATGTATTTAATAGGTAAGAATTAGTTGAATAAAAAAATTGTATGTTGTTTATTACTTACTTACTTATCTTCACGCACAATCCCTGACGGGGTAGCCAGAGAGAACAGATCGCCAAGTGTCACGATCCTTACATACCTCTTTCGCTTCTTTCAGATTCATTATCTTCTAACTTTCGAAGACCATGTGAGCAAATTGCTCGAAGAGGGTAGGGTCAAAAGTACTCGGATACTTAGACGTATGTTGTTTATGGTTTATAATTAATGGAATAAAAGAAATTAATAAACAATGTAGTGTAAAAAAGTAATTAAAAAAAAAAGAAGTTCACAAATATCTAGTTCATTTGTTATATCGTCCAATATTTTGCCGATTGATTGAAGAAAAAGTAGTGCCATCAAAAACATATATAACTTGTAAAAAAAAAATCAAGTCTCACAACTCAGTTCTTCTACCGTAAAAAGTTGTGAGATCCATGTAATACCAAGTTGGTTAATTTAGCCAATCCCTACTTAAGGGTCCTTCTTTCTTAAGTTATTACGTAATTAGCTAACCTAACAACATCTTATAGTGACCACATCAATACTAAAAATCTTTAATATTTTAAATAAATAGATTGACTTGGCCATCGCACGAAAACGCAATGTATCTCTTAAGTAATACATATTGTATTAAATTAGATTGTTTAGTGACATATGGCAACATCGATGTTTTCATTTTTGATCATCATGATCATCGAACATCCCTACTTCAGACTGTTGTCAGTCAGTGTCAAATGTCAATGCTAACTTTTTAGTTATTACTCTACTCTATGGTTTATACTTTTTTTTTTTACTATAAATTTACATAATATTTATTATTCTATGAGCCGTACTGTGATCAGCTGATAGCTGTGTATTTATTTAATTTCTTTGTTATTTTCTCATTATAATACATTACTGTTTCGATCTAAGGTTAAACAATATATTAACTTTTATACTTATTAATATAAACTGTGTCCAATGGTCAAGTAAATAATGATGAAATTGAACATGATGTTTAAGTGAGAAGAAATAACGAGATATAATGTAGTTACGAAGGAAATTCTATGTCATGAGTTGCATCTTTTACGGAGTTCTACAAGATGAATGGGATACAAATGAATTACACTGTTGTAATTATTTCTTTTGATTTTGACGTTCATGCAGACGTAGCAGAAACCATACATCTTGCATTAGAAAATTCCTTTGTCCACGGAAAATTATGACGTTGAAACGGCTTTCCACTTACTAAATTTCTATTAAAGCCTAATATTGAAATAATTAATTTAGAATATAAACTAGTCCCTAGAAAGCCAAAGAATAATATTTTGTGAGAGTAAAAATAGAAAATGGTAGATTCGGAAGATGATGGTCAACCACTCATAAGTTACGAGCCTGAGAACTCTTATTCAGGATCATCAAACATATTATTGGAACTTTCTGCACAAAATATAAACATTGACCCAGACTTTGAACAGGTAATATTTAAATATTATTTAACTACTAAAATTATATCACCATACAACCAACCATGATGCATTAACATGTGATGATATTATTTATAACCTCATACTATTTTTATTGTTTATTAACGTTCCATTTGGAACTTTTTATTTTGGGTAAATTTATGGTCTAAATTTAAAAAAAAATTTCACCCTATTTTAGCTTTCTTGAGTCTAATTCTATTGTTTTAAATAGGATAATCTTGTATCTATGAGTATGTGCCTTTATGCAAGTTTACATGTGTGCATGCGTGAGCAGCCAGTAAGGAATGTACTATACTTACAGTTGATTTTGAGGGTAGATGTTAAGGTGAAACTCTTGTAAAGGGGGATCCTCATAGTTTTGGAGCAAGTAAATTTTTTTTTATATGATCTCTTAAGCAAATTGATATTATGTGAAAAGGCAAAGGAAAATAACGTCTAGGATATACAGGGCAAACCCTTTATAATTGTATTAAATGTTCGATGTTGTGATGCTTAGACCACCCCAAAGCTGAGGATACTACTGTAGAACTTTTCTTCCTCATTGGTTCCTGAGTCATCAGGTTTTATGGCTGGCTCATTAATACTTAAGTTTGCTATCCATTGGACTATGTAAAAAAATGAGCTTGTAGATTCTTTTAAATTGACACAAAATGGGAAGTTAATAGTGAGGGCTGACCAAATCGCATATACACCCAGTTTTCATTTTTTTTCAGAATGCGTCCAATTTTTCTTTATATTTAAATTAATAAATTAATGATTAATTACCTACATAGCAGTAAAGTATGTTCTTAGTTTTTTTTTTTAATAATACAAATATATTTAAAGTTTTGTTTAAAGTCCTTATAATTGCTAACTAGTATTTATTACAAATTTTAAGTTATGATGTCAGTTGTCATTTGGCACATTCATTATTTGAATTGAGAAAGTAATCAACTTATAATATGTTTAATTCATAACTTTCATTACATATTTGCATTTAATTCTCTTCACATAATTAAAATCAATTATGAAATCAGCTACACATTACCAGCATGTTACCATTACTTTATAATTTATATTAAAAGTAGTGTATAATGTGTTGTTATCCATTATTTCCTGTCACATTCCCTTATCTCTGGCATAACACTATGACATGCTTTATTGAAATATTGGCTAATCAGCTGCTTATCAGTGTTTACATAATTACTGTATAGTTACATGTGTATTAAAACAGTAATTTGGAAACTTTATTAGCCAATAAAGATGTCAACGTACTGCTTAGACTAGAGCCTTGTTTATTTAAGTCAGTCATGTGACAGACATGCAGAATCTAAAGATTTTTAGATACAAAATAACATTATCATCATTGTCGTCATCGACGTCATCATCTCATCGGCATCGTCATTGTCATCATCATCATCGTCATTATCATATCCGCCATCGTCATTGCCTTTGTCATCGTCGTCATCGTCATTATCATCGTCGTCATTGTCATCGTCATCGTCGTCATTGTCTTTGTCGTCGTCGTAGGTTTTGTCGTCGTCGTTGTTTTTGTCGTCGTCGTTGTCTTTGTCATCGTCTTCATTGTCATCGTCATCATCGTTATTGTCGTCACCGTCATTGACAATGTCATCGTCATCATCGTCATTGTCATTATCATCGTCGTTGTCATTGTCATCATCACCGTCATCTTCATGATCATCATCATTACAAGTCAATCCTTTCCCTTTTCCTGGTTTTTTAATCATTTCACACAAAAGCGTCTATTTCTTAGTCTGGCGTGCTGGCATTCTCTTTAATTTTGTATTTACAAAATTCAAATTAAAAATTAAGTTGTATAAATTCAAATATTGCAAATCTTCTGTATTTACAAAATTAAGACAATCTATACTCCATTTTTACGAAGTTGTAGTTTGTATGTAGTTACCCTGAATAAAATGTTGCCATGTCAACCTGCTCGCCAAGTGTGGCAACTATGGCGATAGTTACAATGCGGAGTTACAAAAAGACGGCTTCCAGTCCCCGGCGGCCCTGCTATTCGTGGCTACGGTAGCCACCATGGTAACGGCGATGCAGAGGCTGCTAAGAATCTCCAGTAGAAGTTGAGTTGTCACCTATGACGACTTGACCTGGCAACATAATATAACGCACGCACCCTGAGGACTGACGAGAAGATCCTGGACCTGGAAGAAGAGATAGACAAGTTGCGCTGGGATATTATAGGATTATCTGAGGTCCAAAGAGAGGAGAAGGACACAGTAATTCTCGAATGCAGCAACTTGTTCTATAACAGGGAGGGCCGTCTGTTCCAAGGAAGTGTCGAATTTATCGTTCACAAGTCTCTCGGTATTCTGAAGTGCTGAAGTGTTTGTGCAGTAGGACTACGATGGCTATCCGAGTACAGAACCAGAGTAAGAAACTTATCCAATTGCAGAGAGGTTTAAGTATAGACGTCATATCCCCGAAACTCCTCACCGCTTCATTGGAAGACGTTTTCAAGCTATTGGACTACTGCTAGCTACTGGTAGAGGACATGGAAATAACATCAATGGCGAGTACCTCACTCACCGTCCATTTGCCAATGATATAGTCCTTAAGGTAGAATCGCTGGAGAACCTAAGCACTATGCTCAATGACCTCAATACTGCCTCCGAACTGGTAGGTCATAAGATGAACATAGACCAAACAAAGATCATGTGTAACATCCATGTCACACCCATGACGGTAGTTGTTGGGAGCACTAAGCTCGAAGTTGTTGATGAATATGTTTACCTGGGACAAATAGCCCGACTAGGTAAGTCCAATTTTGGCCGAGAGGTCAATCGACGGATTCAACTGAGCTGGGCTGGCCGTATGAGGAAGCTCAAGGTCGCTCAGTGATCTATGGAGAGGGCTACGCTCGGGGTTTCTTTGTGTGATAAACTTAGAAATGAGGATATCCGCAGTAGAACAGAGTGATCGACATAGCCCAAAGTGAAGTGGCAATGGGCCGGCCATATAGCTCGAAGAACCGACAATCGATGGGAGAAAAAAGGTTCTCGAGTGGTGGCCTCGTACCGGCGGACGAAGTGTAGGGCGTCCCCCCACTAGATGAAGTGACGAACTGGTAAGACGTGCAGGAAGTCGATGGATGCAGGTGGCTTACGACCGTGCTTTGTGGCATTCCTTGGGGGAGGCCTATGTTCAGCAGTGGACTTGTGAAGGGCTGTAATGATCATAATGATTAACCACTGTAAATTTTTGTTTTTACACAAATATAAATAATTATTTATAAATATAAGTATATTTTAAAGATTTTCTGATTGAAAACAACAGTCTGGACCCAATAGGAGGCACTGAGGACGAGTTGTTTATATATTTTATATTTCACTGTGAAAAGTCTGGAGTAAATTCTGACCTAATCTCATAATGTCACCCACGGAATGGACAGAACAACATCTGCCAGATTACGTAGTTTTAAATATAGTAACAACAAATTGCATAGTTTTATTATCATATATATTCTTACTAATATTTTATAAAAAATCATTAATTTGTTTAACATTTATCTATCTACATAATATTATGTTACACATAGTTTTAATGTTAATTTTGCTTGCATTTTCATTAGCAATAAAGTTTTTTTTTCTTCTGTCTTTTACTGGCTATGTGGGTTTTATTTTTAAATATAACTTATCTATTCCAGGTAGTTTATGGCTACCGAAAAAGAAGGTGGCGGACGGCACTGGTGCATTTACTGTCAGTATTATTAGGCGGAATACCATTTTTGTTCTTCCATTGGTGCCCAAGATGGTTCCTGTATGCAACTTCAGTGCGATGCTGCTTTCAGATGGCGGATCAGGTTCTTGTAATCGTATGTAATTTTTGGTTTCTTTATTGAGTTTAAATATTATAAAGTTTATCCTACTAATATTATAAACGTGAAAGTTTATGAGGATGTATGGATGTTTGTTACTCTTTCACGCAAAAACTAATCAATGTATTGTAATGAAACTTTACAATAATATAGCTCATACATCAGAACAACACATAGGCTATAACTAATAAAGATATTGTATAAATTGGTCAAAATATAACGATAGGTGTTAAGTATGTCGGAAAAAATCTGTCATCTGTGAGCTATTTTGGTGTGCGGTGCAAAAACTGTAAGAATTATACAAATATAATTTATAGTAAAATTGTTTTTCCTAAATAGTTCTACAAAAACGTCTGTAACAGTATATATCTATCTTTTATGTGTAAGTCATTATTACCAAAATAGTGAACCATATATACAATAAAGTTTTGATACTTTATTTCTAATGCACATTTTGCAGTAACAAATGGATTTTATCAAAATAAATACTTTAATCGCTTCTGATGTTCAAAGTAGATGAACTATGTCTTTTAAACTTCGTTATTTGGTCAAATATTTTAAAAGTAACGACGATATAAAACTATACGGTCTGGCGCTCGCGGGGCGGGGCTGTCGGGCGTAATGCGGGCGAGGTGGGGGAAAACATCGCTAATCGCCGCGTGAGTAAATGTATCTCTTCACGCTTAAACTGCTGAACCCATTTAGATGAAATTTGGTATCGAGATAGTTTAAGTCCCGGGGGAAGGAAATAGGATAGCTTTGATCACGGAAATCGTCCCTGAAGAGGGTGATGAAAGTGCGATTATTGATGAATCACCTATGGTTTAAAGTATAATATGTACGCGGACGTAGTTGCGGGCAAAAGCTAGTCATAAATAAATTATGACACTTGATGACAATTGGTCAAAGTTTGCTATCAACCACCTTTTAAGTCCACTGCTGGAAATATGCCTTATTAATCCACTGCTAATAAAAAGAATATTTTTATGCAAGTAAGGGTGTAAAATGATTACAATATACAACTTAGGTTAAGTGGATGCTGTGGACCATAAATGTCTACATTTGTGATTGGTGAAGAATTAAAATACAGATGAGTTGTTACCCAAGATGACTAATATAGATTGCCACGTTACATTACCTACTTGTATCCGGTTACTCAGCATATGGAACATATTATAGCGTAACACAACTGTATGCTGTTGTGCTAATACTTTGTGAGAGCGTGGTTCTTTTCCAGTCGAGCTCACACATATTTATGTTATGTAATCTACGTATATATTACGTCTATAATACAGCTTCAACATGACGTTACGGATGCTGTCCATACGGATACTGACCATAGGCCTCCCGCATTGATTGGCTCATGGGGGGGGGGGGGGGGGTTATTTGCAATAATTGCCGCGGTTTACAGGCGGCTTAGTACACGCAGTTTTTATTTTTTAGTTGTTATTAGAAAGACGCTGCTGCCATCTACTGGTTTGTTTTCCTCTATCAACTCTTACGACGAAGACATGGGGTAGGATATTTTTACACTGCCACTACACGGTTAGTATTATGGAGCTATTAGTCCGTTGTTCTGCTGCAGAACGTTTCTTCATATCATGACCTCGAAATATTTTCTTATTCGGGTATGCAGGTTTCCTCATGATGTTTAAATTTCAATCTCGCGGTAAATCAGCACTTAAAATTGCAATAAACAATTTCGTTGTGCCGGCGGGTATCGTACCGGGGTTGCTCGTGTACCGAGAAATTTATGGAAAGTACTTAGTATATTAGCTACCACATCCTTTTCCTATAACGATGTGTAGATTTAAATCAAATTTTACAATTTTTTAAAGACAAATAAATAGGTCATTACTAAATAGAATCGGCTGACTGTACGAAAAATTAGCGAATTTTATTGTGTAATTTGTACCAAACATTTGTTTACTTAGACCACTGTTCATTGATATGTTTTTTTAATTTTCAACACAAGAATGGGTTTCTCGTTAAGAATCACAATAGCATTAATAGTTTTTAATTTGAGTAAAATATTTCTTTGTCAGGAAACATACCAGAAGAAATGCAAAAGTTTCTATATACACAAGATTGTAAATAAGAATATTGCAGACGCCAGGTGAGTGAGTAGCGACTTGTGAATAAAACCTAACTGTATCACTGTACATTGTACGAATGTTTGCACGCACGTGAAGGACCGTCAGACATTCATTCGCAAACTTAGCGGATATGCAAATGGGTTCGCATACTCGATTTGCGAACCCGTTTGCGCTTCCTCCTACACTTGTTTACGAATGTCTGTCTTCTCTAGAATTTCTCTTCTTTTTTAATTCGTCAACTACATTTTAATTCTTTCCCAGGCGTCAATAACGACCTTTCTGTGTTTTGAACCTTCTTTCTCTTACTTATTTTGGCACCTGCCAAGCGTGAGGATTGATGAAAATCCTTCCTACATTGGAAGAGCCTCGTGTCCAGCTGTAGACTTTTACGGGCACAATATCTTCTACCTACTTTACCGCAAGAGGTTCTGATGCTACATAATACTATCGAATGTGGACTGTATTGTCTTGCGATTGCTAAATTTAGTGTATCAAAAATATGTCTGTTTCAGCGGATTAATAAACCAAGGCTTCCAAGAGGAATTCGGCGGTGAAAAAGCCTCGCTAGATAGCGCCGATGATTTGTATACACCGATGCACTTGGATGATGGAACTACTTTGAGTAAGTTCAAATATAACTATGTTAATTACATTATTATCAATTAATATGCATCCAAGATAAGGATAGGATGATAAGGATTTTATAGAATAGGGGTGACAAGCGAGCACACAGTCCACCTGATGGTAAGTGGTTGCTGTGGCCCATAGACATCTGCATCTATCCTCGTATGCGAATCAAAATGCAGATGCGTTGTCAGCCGTGAGGACTAAGATGGAATGCCTCTTTTCCAGTAAAAAGGGTCTCCGGTTTTCTACACTCACCATACAAAACACAGCAGCATTAAGCCGCTATTTTACGCTGGTATTCTGTGAGAGCGTGGTCCTTTCCCGGTCGAGCCGACCCATTCGTGCTGCTACTATACAATTAATATAGCTGCAGCATGGCTCTACCACGTAAAATACCGTTTCGCTCCAAAATTATTAAACAAAAACATGTAATTATTGTTAGGAAAAGGCTACAAAATACGGTAATACGAGTACATAATACAATATGCCATACTTTATCATTACACTCCATTCCTAATCCACGGCTGTATCCTGAGCCATCCCGTCATCTTCACCAGCATAAAAATTACTGCTGGCATAACCCCTCGTGTAGGAAAGTTTTGCGTTACTCGCCACGCTTGGCACCTTGACAGGTGGATTGGTGATAAGAGTGCCAGACGTCTCGCATCTTTATCGTTGCTTCCCATCACCGGTCTAAGCACAAAATACTATGATCCTATCCTGTATTAGAAGGTGGCTAGTCTTCGTGGAGACGAATTTCGTACACAGCGGTCACTGTGAACAAAATTCGGTCTGGAGGACATATTATTAATGAAGCAGTAATTGAATTGAATAATATCGGACATTAACTTCTTTAAAGTTGAAATTTGAAGTTATTTTTATGTACCTACATTATTTATAATTCTTATGTAACTTTTCCAGTTTTCAAAAAATTGATTGTTTTCAGATGTTATGCAGTATAGGTACTTCCGTCACAAAAAACAGACGTTGGTATGGGAAACGGGACGGGCATCTTGGGTCCGACTAGCGGGAGTAGAAAGTGGCGCGTCGTGTGCGCAACTTCACGCCATGGCCACTCGAGCGCCGAGCGTCGATCGACGCTTACGTATGTAAGTTATAGAAGGGTTTTTAATTGATCCTGTGTACAGGTGATAAGGCTTCTTTTGCCCTATCGTCCAATATGGGTAGTTATCACCATCTTACCTATTTCTTTCCAATCGGCAGCAGAGCACTCGCATTACCAAGATTGTAGAGTGATAAATAAGGGCTGAGAAACATTCCTTATTATTTATTTTAACTAGAGCTTTACTGACTCGGACCATGACTTATAGTCATTGTAAATTAACACTTTCACTGTCTGATTTTTTTTTAATAGAATAAGGGTGACAAATGAGCACACACTGTGCTCTGCACACACTGTGCTCTGCACACACTGCACTGTGTGCTCGTTTGTCACCCTTATCATATATAAAAAAAAAACACAGTCCACCTGATGTTAAGTGGTTGCTGTGGCCCATAGACATCTACATCTATCTTCGTTTGCGAATTAAAATGCAGATGCGTTGTCAGCCGTGAGGACTAAGATAGAATGCCTCTTTTCCAGTAAAAAGGGTCTCCGGTTCTTTACACTCACCGTACGAAACACAGCTGCGTTAAGCTGCTATTTTACGCTGGTATTCTGTGAGAGCGTGGTTCTTCCACGGTCGAGCCGACCCATTCATGCTACAACTATACCACTAATATAGCTGCAGCATGGCTCTACCATGTATAAAAGTACCACATATAAGATTTTCAGACACAATAGTAAGATAATAGTAATGAACTGTACATAGTACACGGGACAGTGAATGGGTTAATTTACTTTAGTAGGTACACATTTATATTCTTACTAAACTCAATATTATATTTATTCTAAAGTAATTTTAAAAAAAATATTTAAAAATCATTTTATCGTTTCAATATGTAAGTGTACAATAAAGAATATAAGTTAGTTGATTGATTGATTATAATTCCTGCAATGAGTGTCAAACAGACAAGCGTGTTTGCTATTTGTTACTTTATTTCTAAATAAACTGAACAAGGGCGAATACGCAAATAGCCTCTGTAAGTTAAAGCCAATGCGGTTATAAAACCATAAACATGCTGATCTTTACCAAGTAATGTTACCAAGTTTTTCATTTTTGCTGATTTCTATCATAATTAACTTAGTAAACCTTTTTTTATTTAAAAAATTATTACTAGTACCGCTTATCTATGTTTATACGAATAAATAAAAATTGAAGTGTTTGTTTGTAATGTTAAAATAACAGCTTTTTAAATGCATATGAAAGTATATACCGTACCTACAACAAAAACACAATTTTTTAAAATTTGATTATGAAAAATTGATTGATTTTGCACGTGGTAGAGCCATGCTGCAGCTATATTAGTAATATAGTTGTAGCACGAATGGGTCGGCTCGACCGGGGAAGGACCACGCTCTCACAGAATACCAGCGTAAAATAGCAGCTTAACGCTGCTGTGTTTCGTATGGTGAGTGTAAAGAACCGGAGACCCTTTTTACTGGAAAAGAGGCGTTCCATCTTAGTCTTCACGGGTGACAACGCATCTGGATTTTGATTCTTTATTGAGGATAGATGTAGATGTCTATGGGTCACAGCAACCACTTACCATCAGGTGGACTGTGTCGTTTATCACCCTTATCCTATAAAAAAATATGTTATAAGGGGTAACTTAGACTACTGATAATATAATATAGTAAAAAAATTAAGAGTCCGCGCAATAAAAATGAAACTTCTAAATTACACGCGGTGAACAGCTAGTAATTAATGTTAATACTCCTATTAATTCCCCCAAGAAAGCTTAAAAACACCTGTGTTAGGACTGGTTTGTGATAAGTTCCAAATGGTGGATTCGAACCCACGACTGTAACCCATCAGTCATAGGTTACTGGTGGTGGGAATCTTTTTCTGCCCTAAGAGTCCGTTTGTATACATAGGTATTACTCTTTTATCTATTTTCGCCACTAATTAACAGGGCTTGCACTGCTGTGTTCTGGTCTGAGGGTACTGAGAACTGGTATAATTGCAATCTGTGAGGCATTCCATCTTAGTCACTGATCACTAATAAAAACTAGATACACAATCCCATGAGAAACTTCTCTAAAAACTGTCGCCAATTGTTTTGACGTAATTATAGTTAAAATAAATATAAACTAATGTAAATTCAACCTTAAATGCATTGCATAAAGTTGTATTCACAAAACTGTGTACAAATTTTTTAACAGTGGTAGAGCCATGCGGCAGCTTTTGCTGTCGCACGGATGGGCCGGCTCGAACCGGGGGGCGTACCACGACCTCACAGAATACCAGCGTGAAGTAGAGGTTTACCTCTGCGTTTCGCTTGGTGAGTGCAGGTGGCCGGAGGCCCTTTTTACTGGAAATGAGGCATTCAATCTTAGTCCTCACGGGTGATAACGCATCTACATTTTGATTTGTAATAGAGGATAGATGTAGATGTATATGGGCCGCAGCAACCACTTACCATCAGGTGGACTGTGTGCTCGTTTATCACCCTTATCCTATAAAAAAAATATTTAAAATGGCACCTAAATGTTCGAGTGGGCGCTCATTCGGTAAGGAAATTTTTTATCATTGATTGTGTATGTAGTTGTTTTTATTAGTGATCGATGATCTTATTGCTTAGAAGTGATAATGCATCTGTAAACTTCTTTGTTTGAAGTTGGCTGCAGGAGTTCATGGACTGCATTAGCCACTTACCACCATATTAGTTCGCTTGTAATGTCAATTTTTTTTAAATCTTTATTGATTATAGAGGGTTTGATCTATTAGATCATGTCACCCTCATACACAATCAAATACATATAATCAACAATGATAAAGTCACGTAAACAATAATAAAAATTATCTGTTCTTAATACCTAACAATACTAGTTTATAAAGTTTTCTAGCCTAATAAAATAATTTTATCTCCCCCAAAGAATTATTAAATTTATTTGTATTAAGAGTGGTTTACTACAATAGTCAAATAGTGGATTTGAATTCACAACGATCTGGGTTTGCAGTTTGCACCAATGAGGGCTAATAATTTTCTGCTCACCAGATGTCGCTAGTTGACACTGAGGTACTTTTAGTTACACAATGTCATTTAATTGAGAAATTGGTTTTTAATAAAAGTTTATCAGTTTCTAGAGTATTATATTAATACACAAAACAATGCGTCAGTGCTTTACTCTTTAATCTTTTACGCATTTTTAACTTTTTTTAATTTTTCTACTTTTATGAATATTGATGGTTTGTTTTTTATTTTTATAAAATATAGCTAATAGTACAGAAAGAAACAATAACCTTTACATTTTCATACTTCATACATAGATTACTGTCGCTTGTAACAGATACACTGCTGCTATAAATGTGACTAATTCTGAGTGTGTATAAACTAGTTTAGTAGAAAAGTATATGAACATCTCAATTTTTAAAAACACATGCCTCCCATTATTTTAGAGATGTTAATAGACATTAGACAGGGAAGATTATCACACTGCTAGTCCGTCTTGTGATCGAGAAATATCAAAATGTGTTCTGTCTGACGCGTTGGTTTTCCGAGTTGTATTTCAACAGAGCATGTGGTAAATCAGCACCTAAAAAGTAAACCCGAAACAAAAACGCTTCATGCGGCTGAACAGATTTTCTTGAAACAGCTAAAAACAATCGATTAAGGCACATTATAAACGAAAAAAACTTAATCAAAATTGGTTCATCCGTTTAATACCTATGATGCCACAGACAGACAAACGGATACACAGACATACTTATACACAGATACACAGGTAAACAGATACACATTAACAACTTATAACAGCTTAAAAATCGATGGTGGCGACGGAATTAATCTCTAGTTGCTTGTGCTTTATGCATTTTAAGGCGGCCGTCAGGTCAATCCTTGAGCAGCAATCAACTGTGATGATTAGTATAGATAGCTTTAGTCTCTTTATTTTAATAATATTAAAAATTTCTGATATAAAAATGACCCTTGAATGTGTTTTTACTTTATTTACTTTGTTTTGCTGACCTTACAACTCTAAACCTCTTTTCGAATAAATGCAGCAAATACGCTAATACATGTGATGATCTAACCAAGGACCATGCACACTAAAATCATTTGTTATTTGCATTTTACAAACTTAAGAACTTGTTTCAGGCTCAACATCTATGGCCTTAATGAGATCAAGGTGCCAGTACAGTCCATCATGGCCCTCATTATTCTGGAGGTTTTCAATCCTTTCTACGTGTTCCAACTCTTCACTATTGGCGTGTGGGTTGCGGAGCGCTACTACTATTACTGTATAGCTGTAGTGTTGATGTCTACGTTCGGTGTTGCCACATCTGTTATACAGACTAAGAAGGTATGTTGACAATGTTTAAATAAATGTGGTTAGTGATACCTAAATACTATGTTCTACAAAAATATAGATCTTGCCTCCATCCAAAAAAAAGTCCGCGATGCAATAGGGCAATTTATTATACTCTTATGTATAAGAAATTGCCTCAAAAATGCAAATAAAAAAGTAATTTATGAGCGTTATAATTAGGCATGGCATATTAATCCTTACGAACGAAAGTTACTTCATCATCAAGACAATTTTATAAAGATAAACTTTACTCTTTATAGCATATTATTTGGACGCATAGTTTAAGAGATAATGAAAACTTAAAATAATTCAACACTCAGCTCGGCGCGCGAACGACGCCTAGCCACCCGATTAGAACTGAAAGCGCGGATCAGAGCGTGAAATACGCGGGTGATACCGCGGGGAACAACTAGTTCAGCATAAAGTATTTCTTATTATCTCGGTTTCCTCTTTGGCGTTGCTTTAAAGATGATTTATATAACTTTTAACTATTAAAATAAAAAAAATTATAAACTTATTATCAAATAAATAAAATTAATTATATTGAATAAAATTATCATATCCAAACGATTCCTAACAATCCACGATTTCATATATTACAGATTTATATTAAATATTTAGGCCATCTTGTGTCTATTTTACGGACCACCTCGAGAGTCAATCAATATATCTCAATATATAATATTTTACCTATAGAATGAAGTAGACGTCGCTATAATAAAGCAATTTTAGTCAAAAGAAATATTATTTTGATTTAATACACTAAAATTTAGGCTCTAAATGTCTAAAAATAAGTACCTATTGTGACATTTATCAATACAAATTATCAATACAAATAAATAATATTAAAGGATCTGTTGTAATGTTAAAATAACAGCTTTTTAACTTTATAAACAGACAGACAGAAAGACAAATTTTTGTCTGTCTGTCTGTCTGTTTGATCCGGCTAATCTCCGAAACGGCTGAACCGATTTTGACGGAACTACTACAGGCAGATAGCTGATGTTATAAGGAGTAACTTAGGATACTTTTATTTTAATGAAATGCCATGAAATCGTAGTAAATTCCACGCGGGCAAATTCGCAGGGGACAGCTATAAAATTAAACTTGCCGCACTTGCGGTTAAAAATTATCACTTAAATGAATCATTTGCTGTGTTGTCACCATGTCAAATGTTATTGTTTTATATTTCATTTCATTTGAAGGTTTCACTTCTAATGCGTGTGAACTGCACACATGTTTTTTTTTTAAATTTAATTTGATAGATAATTAAAATGGGCTGCGAACGTACAATTTCATCAGAGGACTACTTGTTAACACCTGGTCGCTTAAAAGTAGCAGCCGAATTAACAGTTGGTAACCCAAAAATTTTGAGGTCTTATATTTTTCTTTGAAACGTCATAATTTTATTAAAAAAAAAAAAAACAGAATATACTTATCTTAATTAAAAACATTTTGATAGACAACTCGGCAAAAATGTATTGTCCTATTAACAGTTGTTCAAAAATTGTATACCCATTAAACACCGTTATTAGTGGTATAGCTACGAATAAAAAGAGTGCGATGCCATGGTCAAACCCAGTATTTATCAGTAGACAGTAATAAGTTATCATTGTTTGGACAGAATCAGGAAAACTTGCGCGCGACAGTGGAAGCCCACGACTCGGTCCAACTGTGGGGTGACCGTACCGTGGACAGTCGGGCGTTGAGCCCCGGCGATGTACTAGTGCTGCCACCTAACGGTTGCGTTTTGCAATGCGACGCTGTACTGCTTACTGGCTCGGCGATATTAAACGAAAGCATGCTTACTGGTGAGTGCTAATAAAATCGCATTTTATTACTGTACTATTGTCGTGAGATGTATCTTAAGACAACCCACCACCTGATTAAGTCCTGTGGATATCGTAAGACGCTAAAAAGATGTTGTAGCTTACTATAGATGACAGGATAACCATCTCTTTTCATTTATATATGTAAATGAAGTGACAAACGAGCTTACAGTCCACTCGATGCTCGATGGTAAGTGGCTACTGCACGCCTTGGACACCTGCTAACTTGAAACGAAGAAAGGCTACAGATACGTTGTCACCTTTGAGGAGTGAGGACTAAGATGAATGCCTCACGGCCTGTAATGTCTGGCTGCCACTTGAGAATCTATAAATGTATAGGTCAGAACCTATATATATATATATATATATATATATATATATATATATATATATATATATATATATATATATATTAACCTTTATAATATCAGACATTAGTTACTATGATCAATGTTATAATTTGGTTTATGTTATATATTTATTTGTATTTAAAATATGTATTTAGTACGTGAGGGTAATGTGGTCACTTTCTTATAATTCAAAAACTGCAGCCTTGTGTACATAAATAGCTCTGTGATATGATAGATCTTCATCAGTCAATTAAATAATAAAAGGTCAAACGGGCGCGTCAAAGTGCTGTTTCATCGCCGCCATTAGGGCAGTATACATTACGGTAAATATTTTAGTCGATTTTAGTATTGTGTAGTGTACTTAGTTTTTTTTATAAGTTGATTTTTTGAAGTGTACCTAATTATTGTCAAAGCTTGTTTGCTAGTTTTTCTTAATATATTAGTTATAGGACTATGTGTTTTTGTCTTTGTCTTCCTCATAGTTTAGGTTGTATACCATATTACCCTCACGTATGTTTAGTGTATGTGTGTAGATTTTATTCTATTTTCCCTCATCTACAATAATCTTCTTTTATTTTTGGCACTGTAACGGTGCATTTGAAAACACATTATTACCATACGCCTCGGGTTGACTGGGAGAAAATGTCAAATAGCATTAAGTCCGCCCTTTGTAATCCTTTTATTAAGGTGTTCAATTAAGAATTAATAAATAAATAAATATATTTCCCTGCATCGGTTGTCAGTTCATCAAACTCAGGACCGTGCTTTATGGCATTTCTTGTTGGAGGTCTATGTTCAAGTGTGGACTTGTTGCAAGTCTCATAAGAAGCAGCTTAAGTTATTAAAATCCTAAAATATATTGCGATGATTATATAAAATAAAATTATTATTATTATGCTTTGTCTCAGGTGAGTCGGTGCCGGTGACAAAGACGGCATTACAGTGTATCGATAGACCATTTGACCTTAAGGAACACTCATCCAGCGTACTCTTCTGCGGGACTAAAGTCATACAAACACGCTACTACAACAATGAGCCTGTCAGGTTAGTATATTATAGCGGGGTGTGAATTTACTTCACATGTCCTTGATGTATTTAAATGGTCAGACTCGCAGGTTTCCTTTGAATGCTTTTTTTCATCACCGGACACCAAGTTCCACAGCATATTTAGGAGCGTTGTACATGCATATAGATCCTATTATTTAATTGATCGTCCAGATTTCAAGTCTTATCAGCGACACCCTGAACGTAGTTTGTACCAAAGCCCCCTTTCTACATTTATGTTTTTAGTGCATTTGCAGTTATTTTGAATTTGAGTTCCTTCTTCAAATTCCAGTCGCGTTAAAGTCAATACTTTATATGTTTTGCATAGAAGGAAAATGCACGTGTTTGCTAATACACGGGCGAACATGCTTCGATACCAGCCGAAACCAATGAAATTGTTAATTTACCTTTTAAGAAAAACCATGGGGGAGCCTACATAACTAAGAAATGATCTTTACATATAAATAAAAAGGTATCTGTCAGTAATATCGAAAGAACTGGCTTTTATTGAGCTTAGGGCGTTATTTGCAGTCTATTAAGATACCTACTTAACTGTTTTTAAATTTGTCTGTCTGTCCGGGCTAGTCTTCGGAAAGGCCGAACGGATTGTGATGAAACTTCACAAACAGATATATAGCAATACCAGGAGTGATCTAGTCTGTATTTCATCTAAAAATCTTAGATATTGTTATTTTGTCAAATCGAAACAATTATAAAATAAATAGTCTATTATGATATCTTAAGCCCAAATGACGTCACAATAATAGATCCAATGGGTCGCTAGGAACATAACTCCTTGTTCCACGACTTTCACTTTTTTACTTTTACTTTAAATAATTAAGAGTAAACGAGTGCCTAGCACTATTCCCAAGTAGACAAAACTTGGTCGCATTAAACTTGGTGATTGACAAACTTTATACATTTTCTAAGATTTTGTTGTAAAAGCGTAGTTACATTTCCCAAGTTTATTGCATTAGGCTGCATTCATTCTGAAGTGGTGTATGTGACCATTACGTCTTTCCATCTTTCACAAGTATATTCTTCACAATTATGAGGAATTAATCGTTCAAACGTTTTAATAGGGCTTTAGTTCTCCGAACCGGTTACAACACAAGCAAGGGACAACTAGTTCGAAGCATCTTGTATCCGGTCCCAGCCGACTTCAAATTCGACCGCGACTCCTACAAGTTCATAATTATACTGGCCTGCATCGCATTTATCGGCCTCTGTTATACCATCGCGTTGAAGGTATTTCAATAATGTTAATACTGAGATTTGTACTTTGTGGTAAATTAGAAAGAGAAAGATAATTCATCACTCTATCTCATATCATGTAAGCGACGATTTAAGAAAATATCCCAGAAGACCTTGTGGCGTTCAATAGATGACGCTATAGGAATTCTTATTTATACCCGGTGTTTTGTGGTTGATCCACAGTTATATTATGGTGGTAACACGAATGTGTCGGCTCGACTGGGGAATAACCACGCTCTCACAGTATATCAGTGAATATATAGCAGCTCAATGCTGCTGTGTTTCGTGTGTTGAGTGTAGAGAACCGGAGACCCTTTTTACGGGAAACAAGGCATTTCATCTTAATACTCAGGGGTGAAAATACATCTGCATTTTGATTCTTATTCAAGGATAGATGCAGATGTCTATGGGCCACAGAATCCACTTACCATCAGGTGGACTATGTGCTCGTTTCTCACCTTATCATATAAAAAAGGTCAAGTACCAAGCGTGACGATTACGAAGAAACCCCTGAATGCTATTGCAGAGCTAAGTTCAGCTGTGAACTATTTTACGTTAATGGATATAACTTCTAAGTAAGTTTCTTTTCATTTATTTTTTCAGGCATCCCGTTCATTAACGGCCGCAGACATAATAATCAAGGCGCTCGATATAATAACAATAGTTGTACCACCGGCGTTGCCCGCCGCCATGACAGTGGGCCGCTTGTACGCAGTTTCGCGCCTAAAACGCGCTCATATCGCCTGTCTGAATACACGGGCGGTAAATGTTAGCGGCTCGCTCGACTGCGTTTGCTTTGACAAGGTAATGTTTAACGTTCATTGTTTAAATTTTACGATCGTTTTTTTTGTACTTAATGTATTATTATGTGTAAAAGCTAAAAAATATGGTTGAGTTGCTCTTTAGATATACCACCACACCCTTTAAAGAAGTAGAGAATTAAAAATAATTTTGTATAATTATTCATATAATTCTACTCAATCAATTAGTCATCAGGATTGATTTTTTTTATAGATATAAGTGCGACAAACGGGCGCACAGTCCACGTGAGTGAATTCTGTGGCCTATAAGCACCTACACCTTATCGATTAAGAATCATAATGTAATGACTTAGACAAAATGCTTAGCTACCAGTGAAAATGGTCTTCGTCTTTACACTCACCATTTTACCGTTATTGCTAATAGAGAATTATATAAATCATTGGGAATGACTAAAGACTTCTATGTATATTACTAGACCGATAATTCAGAACAAACACTGTGTCACAGCTGTGGAGCGCAGGGCGCTGACTGGGCGGTTAGCTGGCACGGTAAATATGCCACATATTGCACGCCTCATAACGCAAAGCGTTATTATATAGTGCACGTCAAGGTCAAGCAATTTTGTTTTCTTAAAATGCCTCTATCCTAACAATATTGTACTTATACGATAATATGAGTAGACGTATGTTAAGAAAACACTAATTAATCCATCTTATAATTTCCAAAAAATCATTTTATATTGCTACTTTGAAAAATAAACGGTTTGAAAAAAAATTTACGTGATCGTCCACATTTTATTTTTGTACGTACGTGGTCACGATAACTCCCGAAAAAATCGAAACTTCCCAAAAGTATCGAGACCGGGTTTTTTTATTAGCTTCAGAATTACATCAACTGGTTTCCTATTTTATATCAATAGTCTAGTACGTGTGGTTTGTTAATAAAATAATTTTCAAGTTTTATAAATTTAAAGGCGTTTTCATATTTTTTAGCCCTTGATAGACAAAGGACAAATGTACCATACATCCTATATCGATTTTATATTTTGTGTAATCGATTTATTTTGCTGAACATTATTATTTTTTTCCTGTATGTGACACTACCTGTTAAAGTAATAGAGCGCTAAATTTAAAACATGTAAGAAAAATATGTTAAATGTCAGGAATACAATTTTTTCACCATAATGAAACGCTCATAAGGCGTGGAGGCGTGCACTTTTGGATTTTCCATCCAACTATTTTTGGATTGCACTTTTGGATTTTACATCCAACTATTTTTATTTACGACCGTTACGTAAATACGGTATAAAGTTACTACTTACTAAATACAAATCACGTTGATAAAGTGTGCATATAAATGATGACAGCGGTTTCTTAGGCACATTAAACAAAATGAGTGTCAGATTGTCGAAAACAACGTTCGCGGTTGACAAAACAAAGAACTTTTCTTCTCGTCTGCATGCAGTTGACTAAAGAATTTACGGAAAATTGACTTGTAACTTAGTGCGCAATGTATTAATACCATAGTGCCTGCTACATACTTAAATAATTCTTTGTATACTCAAAGAAGTTTTGAACACAAATGACGTTCAAACATTGAAACATGATTTGTCATTTTCATTAATTTCATTAATTTTTATAGTTTTCTATAAGCGTTAAACGATTGTCGAATGTGAACTTGGCTAACTCCCCCGGGCTTGTGAGTTGGTTTAACTCTCAAATGTCGTAATTACGTGATAGAGCTACACTACAACTATATTATGGTTGTAGTACGAATGGGTTCCCGTGTAGTGGCGGGTAAGAATACTCACTACCCCATATCTTCCCGTGGGTGTCGTAAGAGGCGACAGAGAGAAACTGAGGCAGAGGATGGGCAGCAGCATCTTTCTAATAACAGCAAAACAACAATAAAAAAATGCGGTTGCCAACCCGTTTGCCAAGCGTGGCAACTATGGCAATATACCCCCCATGATAGTAACGAAGAGACGGCCCCCAGTCCCCGGCGGCCCCGCTATTCCTGGCTCCGGTCGCGACCATGGTAACGGCAGGGCAGGGTGTGCTAAGGATCTCCGGTGGAGGTTCAGTTGCCACCTACGACGACTCGACCTGGCAACTTATAACGCACGCACCCTGAGGACTGACGAGAAGTTCCTGGAGCTGGAAGAAGAGATAGACAAGTTGTGCTGGAATATCATAGGATTATCCGAGGTCCGAAGAGACAAGAATCTGAAGAAACAAGAGGACACGGTAATTAATCCTCGAATCCGGCAACTTGTTCTATCTGTCCCAAGGAGGTGTCGGATTTATCGTCCACAAGTCTCTCGTTGACAACGTTGTAATGATTGGGAGAGTGTCGACGAGGGTTGCGTACCTTTATACTCAGAATCACCAAACGGTATTCGCTGAAGGTCATCATACATGCTTACGCACCAACCTCAGCACACCCCGATGAGGAGGTGGAGGAAATGTATGAGGATATCTCTAGAGCCATGCATTCCTCCAAAACCCACTATACGGTGCTAATGGGAGACTTCAACGCAAAACTAGGCACAAGAGAGAACGGTGGGCTGAAAGTAGGGAAATTCTGAATAGGGCAACGGAATCTAAGGGGCCAGCAGCTGGCCGACTTCATGGAGAAAGAGGGACTCTTTATGATGAACTCTTTCTTCCAGAAGCGGCCCCACAGGAAGTGGACCTGGTCGAGCCCCGACGGTTCGACAAAAAATGAGATTGACTTCATTATGACGACCATACGACAACTGTTCAGTGATGTCTCAGTGATCGCGAGGGTGAAAACCGGCAGCGATCACCGAATCGCGAGAGGCACACTGAACCTAAACGTTAAGTTGGAGAGGTCACGTCTAATGAAGTCAACGCTCCGTCCCCTTCGTGCTCTAATATAAAGTACCGAAACCTTTCAGCTCGAGCTATGAAACCGTTTTCAGTGCCTAGAAGATTGCAATGCAGTGGACGATATGAATGACAAGCCCCTAGAAACTGCCCATGCGGTCGGACCTAAGTTTTGCAAGACCCGCCGCAGAAGAACACAAAAACTCTCCGATCACACTCTTAATCTCATGGCTGTTAGACGGTATATGTAGCTTCAGTCTATTTGACAGCATACAGGCAACTGAACAGACAGATCTCCAAATGCATGCGGCGGAACCAGGGCTCTAAAGTCTTTGCTAGAGATCTGTCTGCCAGAAAGAGCCAACTGTCGAAGCTGAAGACCGAGTGTAGCAGCGTCGTTTCTGGGACACCTGAGATTTTGAATCAGATTAAGAGGTTCTATGGGCAGCTGTACACGTCATCGTTGGAGCCACATGCAAGTGTGAGTAACGATCCAAGAGCGAGTCTTATCCGATATTATTCCGATGATATCCCGGACGCCAGTTTGAGCGAGATTAGAATGGCTCTCCAGCACCTTAAAAACGGCAAGGCCCCAGGCGAGCATGGAATTACAGCGGAGCTTCTGACAGCGGGTGGAAAACCGGTACTTGAAGTCGTTCAGAAGCTCTTTAATTCCGTCCTCCATGGTGGCATTACACCGGAGGCATGGAGCAGAAGTGCTGTGGTCGTGTTCTTCAAGAAAGGTGACAACGCTCTATTGAAGAACTACAGACTGATTTCTCTTCTGAGTCGCGTCTACGTGCTGTTTTCGAGAGTCATTACGAATCGTCTCGCGCGCAGACATGACGACATCCAGTCTCCCGAAAAAGCCGGTTTCCGAAAAGGCTTTAGCACCATAGACCACATACATATCCTTCGGTAAATTGTACAGAAGTCCGAGGAGTACAAAATGCCACTGTCTGGCGTATGTGGACTATGAAAACGCCTTTGATTCCGTCAAAATTTGGGCGGTCCCTTCAGCAGTGCCAAGTTGACTGTCGTTATATCGAAGTGCTAAAGTGCTTGTACAGTAGGGCTACGATGGCTATCCGAGTACAGAACCAGAGAGCGAAACCTATCCAATTGCAGAGAGGTGTAAGGACAGGGTGGCGTTATATCCCCGAAACTCTTCACCGCTGCAGTGGAAGACGTTTTCAAGCTTCTGGACTGGAAAGGATACGGTATTAACATCAATTGCGAGTACATCACTCACTTTCGATTTGCCGACGATATAGTCCTTATGGCAGAATCGCTGGAGGACCTAAGCACTATGCTCAATGACCTCGAAAGTGTTTCCCAACGGATAGGTCTTAAGATGAACATGGAAAAAACAAAGATCATGTTTAATGTTCATGTCACACCTATGCCGGTAGTTGTTGGGAGCACTAAGCTCGAAGTTGTTGACGAGTATGTTCACCTGGGATGAATAGTCTGACTAGGTAAGGTCAATCGACGGATTCAACTTGGTTGGGCAGTGTTCGGGAAATTGCGGCACATCTTCTTGTGAGGTATACCTCAAAACTTGAAAATGAGACTGTACAACCAGTGTGTGTTGACAGTGATAACATATAGAACTGAGACGTGGTCCTTCACTGCTGGCCGGATGGGGAAGCTCAAGGTCGCTCAGCGAGCTATGGAGAGGGGTATGTTTGGAGTTATTCTGCGTGATAAACTAAGAAATGAGGATATCCGCAGTAGAATCAGAGTGACCGAAATAGCCCAACGAATTAGTAAGCTGAAGTGGCAATGGGCCGGCCATATAGCTCTAAGAACCGATAGCCGATGGGGAAAGAAGGTTCTCGAGTGGCGGCCTTGTACTGGCGGACGAAGTGTCGGGCGATCCCCCACTAGATGGAGTGACGACCTGGTAAGATGTGCAGGAAGTCGATTGATGCAAGTGGCTCAGGACCGTGCTTCGTGGCATTCCTTGGGGAGGCTTATGTTCAGCAGTGGACTTGTGAAGGACTGTAATGATGATGATGATTACGAATGGGTCGGCTCGATCGGGTTTCGACCACGCTCTCACACAATACCAGCGTAAAATAGTAGTTTAATGGTAATATGTTTCGTAAGGTGATTGTAGAGAACTGGAGACTCCTTTTACTGGATACGAGGCATTCCATCTTAGTCCTCAGGGGTGGTAGATATCTATGGGCCGCAGCCACCACTTATCATGGGGTGGACTGTGTGCTCGCTTATCACCCTTATAATATAAAAAAATATACTGTTGCAGACGGGCACGCTGACCGAGGACGGCCTGGACATGTGGGGCGTGGTGTGTGTGAGCGGCGCCTCGCAACCCCCGCGGCTGGGGCGCGCGCAGCGGGAGCCGGCGCGGCTCAACGACCTGCACGACCTCAAGCTGGGCATGGCCGCCTGCCACAGCCTCACGCTGCTCGACGCGCAGCTGGCCGGCGACCCGCTCGACCTCAAAGTAAATACGTCCGCCTCTGTTTATGTACTACTTGATTAAGCCTCTTACGCATATTCGAAGCACTTTTCAAATTTCAGAAAAACAGGTTTGCAATTCCACTGTATGTTTCTTTTGCATGTTACTACGCGATATCATCCTCAATTCTGAACCAAATTTGATAATTTTTATTATTATTACTAGATAGGTAGTCTTTGTACTTGTTTCAAATAAGTACAAGTACTTCATGATGATATTCATTATTATCATCTTGAAGTACAATATTCAGAAGATCAAGATTAGTGTCAATGTAATAAATTCAATATTATAATAATTCCATCGCTAAGAGTAGCAAAATATGGGATAGCGTTTTTAATGTAACTATTGAGACAATATTGTAGAAGATCTCTCTATTCTATTGAAGAATGTCAAAAGAAGGGTAAAAAGATAACTTTTGATTTAAAATAAAAACTCATTACAAAGAACTAAAAAAATAAAGTGATTTCACATTCTGCAATCCGGACTTTAATTCTCCCTACACTGGCACACTGTCTTGTCACCGACTTCCGCTAGTGAAATTACTTTATTATTTTTTAAGTTCTCTATGATAATCTCTTTCTATTTTAATATACTAAATGGGTGTTAAAACCGTTTATAATATTACCAAACTGTGCGTTAAAAAATTAATGTAGACTTAAAAATAAAAAGAACTATTCTGATAGTATTGCATCAGTATTTTGATTTATTAATTTTTTTCAGTCACTTTCTGCAACTTAAAATGGTAAAAAGTAAAACTAAAATGTTTTCAGAATAGACACCAGGCCACAGGGGAATGGGATAATTAGATAATTGGTAATTAATATGTGATTACAGTAGTCTTTTAAACGCCTTCTTATTTCCCCCTTGAACACTTATTTCATATAACGATAGCCAGTTGTCACTAAAATTAATCAAATTATTCGCTTGTTTATTATTCGATTGCAATTGAATATCAATTGATGCAATTCCATGGCTATCCACCATTTATTTCATCTTTATTGTAGTAATTTGTCTATAAGTCCTCTCTCTATTCTAGTAGTCTGTTTACTAAGATAGTGTCGGTACACCAGGAGGCGTACTTATTATTTGACTATTTTAATTGTTTGTTAAATAAAGGTTTTTATATTCTATATTATTGTAATAAAATACAAATATAAATAATAAACACAAGTTAGGTATCAAAGAGCCTTTCACTACGACGCTTTGTTTTAAAATGCCAAATATTCCTGCGGGTGTACGCCGCACGCGGCGACCTTTGACAAGTTGCGGCACGTGTCAAGGCGGCGCGAAATAAAGGCGACCGTATCTAAGCGAACAGACTATGCCATACTCCACACAGTAGTATATTTAATATGATTCGCTATTCTCAATTTATACTTAAATCTTATTGCTTTATCTTGCTGACATACGGATGTTTAAATTCTTAAACAGATGTTTGAATCTACCGGATGGACTTTAGAAGAACCAGACGTGCCAGAACTGTCCAACTATGAAATGCTGACGCCTACCATAGTGAAGCCAAAGAAAACTACTAACATTAATGTTGATGACGTGCATGTGAGTTTTTATTTTATATTTCAAAAATTTTACAAAATGTATATTCTTCCAACGTGCCATTGAAGTGTAATTCCACCACGTTACTCTACTATGAATAAATTAGCTGAAATCGCCACGCGTAATTAGATCTCGTTACTAGATGAATCGTATCATAGATCTCATAATTTTCGAGGTGATTATTTCGCAATCTCTCCATTTTTAACAGACTCCCAGGATTTTTTGTAAATCAACGACACAGGTTAGTATTGCAGAAAGAATATGAAATTTTAATATTGATTTATGAAATTCCACTTACAGGTGTTGGAATTCCGTTTGGGTAGGTACTACCCTCATTATCTATTTCAGATGCCAAATAGTAGTGCTTGCACTGCCGTGTTCCAGTCTGGAAGGGAATAGAGAGCCGGTGTAACTACAGGCTGCCTCAGATGTGACAACGCATCTGTGACCTTCTTTATTTTAAGTTGGCTGTAGGTATCCTTGGACTGCTGTAGCCATTTACCATGGGATGAACTGTAAATCCGTTTGTCACTTTTATGATTAAAAAAAATTCCCGCTCCTATAAAATTCACGTCGATCTCTTAGATCCTAAGCTACTTTGGCTCTTATACAAGGTTATTTTTTCAAAGAGTAGCCAAATTTTAAACTTAATTTCAAATATATAAATAATGATATACCGTTATTGCAGTATTTCAAAATAAGAGTAAATAAAGCTTCTACTTTTATTTGAAATTATCCCCAATTGAAAGTGATTTAGGGGCGACTACGTTTTTGTCTATCGATCGACCCTTACGAATGTGTGCGTGCGCAGTAAAATCAGTTAAAATAATCCATTACCACGCATTTTGAATTTAAAAGATAAAAAGGACAGAATATTTGAGATTTTTTAAATTAATATTTCTTCACCGTCTGAACCTTCTCTGAAAATTTGGGCGGTTATTGCAAAATAATCCTGTATTGTAAATCACGCATAAAAGTCACCGAATGGAGATTTTGATAGGGCCATACTTTTTGCAGCCATTTAGAAATATACTCATGTTCACGTTTTAACGTTTAACTTTTTGCAAAAGGGCACTTTATCATTAAGACCAACAAAAGTCCATTGCTGAACAAAGACGGGAAGTCTTCAGGAAAGTCGGGATATCTAAAGAACGCCACGAAGCATGGTCCTGAACCTGCATCTACTAATATTCTGTAAATATATCATAAAATATTTATATTAAAATATTTCCAGGTAAACACAGGTAAGTTATATCATAATTAGAATTTAATTATTTCTAGTATTTTAAATATTTTTAAATGTCACATATTTTTGTATAGATGCCGCTGGAGGTGGGCATAGTGCAGCAGTACCAGTTCGTGTCCACGTTGCAGCGCTCGTCGGTGGTGGTGCGCTTGTTGGGCGAGGACGTGCTGCGAGTATACTGCAAGGGCGCGCCCGAAATGCTAAGAACTCTTTGTCGACCCGAAACAGGTATTAAAAGAATTTAATATTTATATACTTATTTATCTATGTATTCATTAATTCACTCATTTATTTACTGGCTTGTTTATTAATTTACTTGCATATTTATTTACTTATGCACTTGCTTGTTTATTTTTTTTTTACTTACTTATTAGGTTATTTACTTATGTTTCATTTGTTTAATTTACTATCTATTTACGTCTTGATTAATTGTATTATTTATTTACTAGTTTTTTTTTAAATATTTCCCCTTTACGTTATTGTTAACTTAATTTTTTTATTTTCTTTTTTCCATTGACTTACTTATTTACTTCCCTCAATATCTAACGATGAGAATATTACTGGGAGCACCAGAATCCGAGTTATCACTACATGCAATAAAAGTCCACTTCCTACTCTTTCCACGAAGTTATTGAATATTTTTTCATTTTAAGTTTGTTGTATGTTTATATACATTACATTGTGAATATACAAATTATGCAATTCCAGTGCCAGACAATTTGAACGAAATTCTAAGTTCCTACGCTGAGAAAGGATACAGAGTTATCGCAATGTCTACGAAAATAATGGAGGTCACCTTCAAGCAACTGCAGAAAATGACCAGAGATGAGGTAATTCAAACTTATTTTCTCTGGAAGTGTATCAAATAAATACACTTTTTACCATAGAATACTATAATACACAATAGGATGACTGTCAACCTTATTTTGTACGAGAACCGTTGTCGCCGGGAGCACACATACAATCGGTTACGTCGTATTATTACTACTAGAAACCCAATTCGCTCATTGGTTATACAATTTTCAATGAATAAATATTACAAACGCATTTTTTTACATTACATAAAATCAAACTTTATTACAAGGCAATAACAACGGATTTACAACGAATCTTTACAGACCGTTTCTTTCTGAAAAGAAAGAGACGGCCTGTAAAGATTCACAGTATTGACACTGATAAAATTTACACATTTTTGACTTGATCGATGTTCACGATCATCAACAAATAAAGAAATCGTTTAAATTTTAAAACATTTTTATTTGCAAATAGTGTGCAAACTAATTGCAAATACAATGGTGCTAAGTATTATTTTTTTCTTATTGTAAATAACTAGTTGCTTAACACTTATAAATGCGTAGCATCATATTAGCGTTTAAACAAATTGTTATCACATATAGGTATGTAATCTTTTTTAACCTCGTAAGGCCTAATGTGATCAGAGAAGTACTTAATAATTTATGCGTTTCGGCCCAATACGAAAAATATTGTCATCAAAATTGCCGCCCACTGTCATCCACTGAGAACAAATTATATTTTTGTTCCTAGATTAAAAAATTCGCGGGTTTTTGTATTTCTTATTAGACGTCATTGATTGGCCCTCTTGCTAGCGACATTTAGAACAAGAGCAAGTAGGCAACCAACCACAGATAGCTCTTAATTTTAAACTGAATTGAGCCAACATGGAGTCCACGCATCGTAATGGTGAGTTTTGATCTTGATTTATTTAATAAATCCGTTTATTTTTCCAAGAAATCATTTATAAACATAAAATTTAGATTTTGTTTTACGTAAATATCGTATTATTTTACCATATACTGCTGTGCATAAAAAATCATTTTGATTTAAAAAAAATATGTGATTGAACAATCACACGGGGCGGTAGTTACAATTACAGTCATTTTTAATTGGTATTATGTGAGGTCATTGGGCGTTAATCAGTTAAGTAATCGTTTTTCAGAAAATTGAAGTGTTTTGTTTTAAAGTACTTATTTCTATATATTATAGTTTTGCGCGGTGAAGATGTTTCTAAATTATTAAACGAATTGGAGATTGAAGACTTCGCACCTAGTGATGAAGATTTGGATGACCATAGCCCACCTTTTAGACTTGAGTTAGATCATTTATCTAGTTCGAGTGATTTTGAAAGATCAGAGCCAGAAACAATGCACGAAGAAAGAATAGTACAACTAACTCCATCACGTACTCGTCGTGGTTTTATTCGTGAAAGTAATCGTGGTCGTAGCAGCAATATAACTTCCTCTGCCAGTGATTAAAATTTCTTTACCTGGTTAGTCTGAAAAACTAGTCCCACCGAAAGAAATGAAATTATCGCAGCCGACTTATTTACCACTTAACTCAGGTTTTTTTGAAAAAGTTACATATTTTGAACAATATATAGATGAAAAGTTTATACAGTTACTCGTTGAAAGAACAAACCAAACTTCAGTAAAATTGCATATAAGAAGCACGAATTTAGATATGAATGAATTTTACGTGTGCATCGGGATTACATTCGTTATGGCTTCTGTAAACTACGAGTATCCAGTAATAAGAATGTACTGGGAAAGTAAATGGAGAATGACGGTAATTGCGGATAACATTACACAGATTTTTACAAATCAGAAAAGCTATCAAATTTGTATTTAATGGCAATGTTAGTCAAGCTGAACGTGCGGAAGATAAGTTATGGAAAATCAGACCATTGATACAGCGAATTCAAGAGGGTATAAAAAAATGAAAAAGACATATCTCTTGACGAAATGATAGTGCCTCTTAGAGGGGCATGTGGAATTAAACAATATTGCCCCGGCAAACCAAACCCAGTTGGTATGAAAGCCTTTGTTCTTGCAAATCCCAGTGGAATAGTGACAGATTTTCATATTTATCAATGGTCTGGTTACAAAGAGTTAGAAGATTTTAACTATGGATTGGGAGAGAAAGCTGTAATCACTTTAGCTAATACACTTGTCCCAGGATACTGCACCTCAATAAAACTGGCAAATGAACTTTTAAAGAGAGGAATTGGTTGCACAGGCACTATCATGAAGGACAGAATTCCAGCTGCTGCATGCTTTTAGTTTATTATGTTAAATAAGGAGTAAAAGAAGTATAATGTTGAATTTTTTTATATGTTTTATTTATTACACTTAAAGCCAATGTCATCATCTGATCACAAATAAAACTTTAGGTAAAATGCAACAACGACCCAATGTCTTCACATGAGAACAAAAATAATCGCCTTAAAAGTTCTAAAAGTATGCTCAAAGGGGTGTTATATATGAGGCACATAAAGTGTTTTGTTCTATCTTTCCTAGAAATCTTTCTAATGAAATCGTTTCGGTCTGGGCGGTAAGCGTTATGTTTATTAAGTTCTCCACCGAGAACATTGAGCGGTATTTGGTTGCATTCTATTTTTGCCTTGGGCCTTACGAGGTTAATGATTGACTGGTAACCGTTAATCACCGTTTTTAACAGTGGTAGAGCCACGCGGCAGCTTTTGCTGTTTCACGGATGGGGCGGCTCAAACCGGGGTGGTACCACGACCTCACAGAATACCAGCGTGAAGTAGAGGTTTACCTCTGCGTTTCGCTTGGTGAGTGCAGGTGGCCGGAGGCCCTTTTTACTGGAAATGAGGCATTCCGTGTTAGTCCTCACGGGTGACAACGCATCTGCATTTTGATTCGCAAACGAGGATAGTTGTAGATGTCTATGGGCCGCAGCAACCACTTATCATAAGGTGGACTGTGTGCTCGTTTGTCAACCTTATCCTATAAAAAAAAAGCTTATGGTAAATGAAAAAAAGGTTAAGATCCAGGTAAGGTCCAGGTGATGTTTAGCCCATACAAACATATTTCATTTTTTCCCTTCCCATACATATGATATATGATTTAGGGCTATATGACTATATAGCCTTAAATCGAACTTCCCTTATCAGCTTTTCTAATAAACTAAATCATTTATACAATTTTATGTGTAAATAAAAAAAGTTAAGCGAGTATCAGTAATTTACTGTGATCGAGTTTCCTGATAAAATTATATCGAAATGTTGATAAATATACGTGGTAGTGACATGCTGCAGCAATATAAGGTTACAGAACGAATAGGTCAGCTCGACGGGAAATGTCACGCTCTCACGTAATACCAGAGTGAAATAGTGTTTCGTAAGGTGAGTTTTTTTACTACAATCGTGGCATTCCATCTTAGTCCTCAGGGGTGACAACACATCTGCGTTTAGATTTTTAAATGTTGTGTAAATCTATTGGCCACAGCATCCACTTACGATCAGGTGGACTGTTTTACCGTTTGTCATCCTTACTAATAAAAAAAGATAATTTTATTGTGACCACAATGGTATGTCGCGATTTAAGTTTCAATAATTTAATAAGAGAGCGTGGTGCAACGGTGTAACACTGAACGTACATATCTATGTGATAGAGAAAGTCACTCACTCGCTTAGTAAAAGAGATTGCTTGCGCACTCATTTCTCCTAGTAATAGAAAAGAAAAATTTAATGTACTATACGGAGAATCGTCTATACTCTATATAACCAATAATCCGATTGGGGGTAAATAATGTTGATATTGACAACAGGTAAGTAAAGTGTTTAAAAGTTGTTGAAAATATAACTTACCTTACCGAACGTGAACCTGTTTTGGCGCAATAAATATAAATAATAATATTATTAATTAATATGAAAAAGGTTTTGCGGCGTTTAAAATATACACAAGGTTTTTTTTACGTGGTAGAGCCTTGCTGCAGCTATATTAGTAGTATAGCTGTAGCACGAATGGGCCGGCTCGACCACGCTCTCACAGACTACCAGCGTAAAATAGCAGTTTAACGGAGCTGTGTTTCGTATGGTGAGTGTAGAGAACCGGATATCCTTGTTACTGGAAACGAGGCATTCAATCTAAGTCCTCACGGGTGACAAAGCATCTGAATTTTGATTCGTAATCGAAGATAGATATAAATGTCTATAAGCCACATCAATCACTTACCGTCATGTGGACTGTCTGCTCGTTTGTCATCCTATCTGTACAGATCCCAAAAAATAGCCACTAGGAGATAGGGTTCATGAAATGAAACTCAACTATCAATTAGCAGTAGGAGTCAATAAGCATCGTATATTATGTAGAGAAACCTTATGTACTATTTGAAACAAATCTTTACAACGCGATATAAATAACACAAGCTATGGACAAAACGTCATCTAGTAAAAATAAACATAAACTAAATATTGTAAACAAAGTAATTGACAGATTTCATACATCCCGCCCGCCATGGACAGATTGTCCATAAACTATACATAACCACACGACACATATGTACTATGAATAAAAGAATCAATAAAAGTTATAACATACAGCTGTTAATAGTATGTTAAAGTACATATTTCATAACAATAAAAACATAAGTACTAAAATTTACAATCCTTGAATATTTTATTCCAATATAACACAAAAAAATTACTTAGAATAATGCATTGCATTCAGTAAATAATAACAGACAAACATCTAAAGAATACTTATATTCATTCAGTAATAGGCAAAACACAAATTTTTGATACTGGTCTTTTAATAGTAACACCTTTGCATCGTAAAGACACCACACGGGTAACTCCATCCAAACCAGGATGTTTTGCTATAATTATCCCATAGAGCCATCTAGCCGGAGGAAGATCGTCCTCCTTCACCAGTACAACATCTCCGATTTTCGGGTCAGGAGTATGCCCTTTCCACTTATGGCGTTGTAAAAATTGTGTGAGATATTCACGAGACCATCGCTTCCAAAAAGTTTGCACCATACGTTGGGTGATCTGCCAACGTTTAAGCGAATTTATATTAGAAGTTAAATAATTTTCATCTGGAACGAGAACCAATGGTTCTCCAATCAAGAAATGTCCCGGTGTGAGAGGGAATGGATCATCCATGTTATTATTTATTCTTGATATTGGCCTCGAGTTCAGACAAGCCTCGATTTGAGACAACACTGTACTAAATTCTTCAAATGTCAACAAAGAGTTGCCTATCACTCTTTTGAGGTGGCTTTTTGTAGACTTAATACCTGCTTCCCATAGACCTCCAAAATTAGGACTATAGGGTGGAATTCTGTGCCAGTAAGTTCCATTATTAGCGAGCCAATCAGCAATATCAACAGCCACACTGGACCTTTCTTCTGTTAGGAGGACTTGTAATATTCGATCCGCACCTACGAATGTAGTAGCGTTGTCACTCCATAAATCGGAACAATGTCCACGTCTGGAGACAAACCGTTTAAACGCTGCAATGAAAGCTTCAGAAGTAAGATCACTTACTAATTCGAGGTGCACAGCTCTAGTTGCCATGCAAATAAAGAGACATATATATCCCTTTGTAGACCGATATCCTCTGCCTTTTCCTATTTTTATTGCAACTGGACCAGCGTAATCTACTCCGCTATGACTAAATGGTCTACTTGCTCTCACTCTGGCAGCAGGTAACTGGCCCATGATTGGATTATTAGCTCTAGATGTATAGCGCAAGCAAGTAATACATTTGTGTATATAAGATTTTACTAAGTTTTTTAAATTAATAATCCAGTATCTTGACCGAATGAAGTTAATCATTAATTGTGGGCCCCCATGTAAGGTTTTCTCATGTGCATTTGCAACTATTAGTGTAGCCAAGTTAGAAGCACGGGGAATTAAAATAGGATGCTTTCGTTCTATTTCAATTTGAGCCAATTGCAGTCTACCGCTAACTCGCCAAAGTCCATTGTCATCCTTATAAGGATTAAGGGAAGAAAACTTTCCCTTCTTATCGGTAATACGATCATTAAAATATTGTTTTTGACATTTTTTAATACAAATATTTAAAGCTTCTTGCAACTCCTTTGATGTCAACCAACGAGGTTTTATAGTATTCCGATAAAGGAAAAATCTTCTACACCAAGCAACCACTCGTATAAGTTTCCGTAAGGATGAAAATCGATTAATAATATAATCCTCTTCCAAATGTAATACTTCAACGCAGCATAATTTCGATCTTTGTTCTAAATTAGTATCCCATTCCTGGACATTTTTATTGTAAACAGAGTTCTGTTTTAATATTTTCTGATGCAGCCAATCAGGTCCTTGTTTCCATAAATATAAAGTTTCTAAAACTTCCGGACTCACACCCCTAGAAGCACAATCAGCGGGGTTATCTTGAGATTTCACATGAGACCACTGATTACGACCGAAATGTGTGACAATCTCAGATACTCTATTACCCACAAAAGGCTTCCATCTGCTCGGGTGACTGCTCAACCAAGCAAGCACCACTGTTGAGTCCGTCCAAGCTCGTACTCTATTGAGTGGTAAGCAGAGAGTCTTTGCTACTTCATATAACAGCTTAGAAAGCAAAACAGCTCCACACAATTCTAAACGTGGAATGGAGACTTGTTTGACTGGCGACACTTTAGTTTTTGATGCTATCAAACTTACATGAACTTCGCCGTTTTCTTTTACAACTCGAGCGAATACCACTCCGGCGTATGCTTGGTTAGATGCATCGCAAAACCCATGTAGTTCTAAAAGTTCTTTCGTATTGGTGAATATCCATCTAGGAATACTAAAGCCTGTAATGAATAAAAGTTTACTCCTAAAATAAAGCCACTCCTGTAACAAATTAGAAGGTAATTCTTGATCCCACTCAATACCTGACATCCAAATCTTCTGAATGAAGATTTTGGCAGTAATTACTACTGGTGCTATCCATCCTAATGGATCGAATAACCTAGAAATATCTGAAACAACCTTTCTCTTTGTAACAGGAGTTGTTATTTGTGGTAACTGAACACGATACTCAAAATTGTCAGTTACATTATTCCAATATAATCCTAAAACCTTCGTGAAACTTTCATTTTCTTTTCCAACATTTAGTTCTATGTTTCCACTTTGACTTTTAACCACTTCTCCAGTTTTTTCTAATAATTCTCTACTATTACTTCCCCATTTTTGAAGTTGAAAACCTCCCTTTTGCATCATTTTGTTAAGGTCTTTGTACACTTGTACACCTTCTTCAACTGTTTCACAACCACTCATCAGGTCATCCATATAGAAGTCTTGGAGTACTCTTTCAGCTGCTGAAATCATATCCTTACCCTCATCATAAGCTAACTGCTGAAGAGTACGTACAGCAAGATAAGGTGCTGATGCAGTTCCAAAAGTAACACGTAGTAGCCTATAATGGCGTAACTCACCTTCTTCATCATGCCATAAAATACGCTGAAAATCTTTGTCACTTTTGGAAACCTCTATTTGTCTGTACATTTTAACTATGTCTGCTATTAAGCATATGGGTCGTACGCGCCAACGCATAACTAAATGTCGTAACTCGGGCTGAAGAACAGGGCCAACCATAAGATCGTGATTAAGAGAAATCCCGTTGGTACCAGGACATGAAGCGTCGAAAACAACTCTAAGCTTTGTTGTAGACTTATCCTCACGAATGATGGCATGGTGAGGCAAATAAACCGCACAAGGATTGTCCCTTTCTTCCTCTGGTACGATTTCCATATGGTTAAGATCAATGTATTCACGAATAACGGCAGAATATCTTTCTTTTAAATCTGAATTCCTTGCCAATCTTTTTTCTAAAAGGTGAAGTCGTCGCAAAGCAATGTGTCTGGAATTGCCATACTGGCACTTCGGATCCTTATCACGAAAAGGAAGCTTTACAATATATCTACCTGAATCATTTCGGGTTGTAGTATTAGCAAAAATAGTTTCACATTTTTGCTCCTCTTCAGTGAAAATTATTTTACAGGTACTAGCAGTTGGTTCTGCTTCTAATTCCCAAAACTTCTTCAATAATTCATTTTCATCAACTTGCAAATGAAAGTTTAAGATGGTGTTACATTTATTTGACTCAAAACTATCTATACATGTTGAGTTAATTTGACCCGATAAGATCCACCCCAGTCTAGTATTCTGTGCTACAGGTAATCCAGAAGGACCTTTGAAGTTTTCTTAAAATTGACATAAGCCTTTTCAATTAAAGAACTAGTTTCTATTTGTAGACATTCATACGCTGACATATCCATTATTCTTTTATTTTAAAAAGTATTTTAAAAACAATAAAATTTAAATTTGACAACTTCAAATCAATACGCAAATTTTTCTAAGTCTTATAATAGATATTTATTCAAAAATTTCTATGTATTTGAACAAATTGTACCTCGCTATGAAATTGGGTATAGGTTCCCCGTCACATCACCTTTTGGAGAATTATTCTATTATAATAAGTCTAATACTAGAATAACATTCTTAGTCTACAACATTTTCGAAGTCTACACACATGAATTAACTTAGAAAATTACCAACAATTTTTACTAAATATAAAGTACTAGAATCACGAAACACTTCATTTATCACCTTGTCGTCGAAATGTATCCATATGCGTCGCGTGTCGATGAAGATCCCGTCCACTGGCAACTGCTCCCAATTCAGACACCACGCACTAACAGCGCAGCGTGGTTGCACAGCGGAAGACACTGAGTCACGTGTCGATGAAGATCCCGTCCACTGGCAACTGCTCCCAATTCAGACACCACGCATTAACAGCGCAGCGTGGTTGCACAGCGGAAGACACTGACTCACTACAATAATTTGCTTCTGCATACTCACAAGTCGCCTGGTAACGCGTGCACCTTTTTTTACACTATACTTCACCACCACAAGCGCAATCACCTTAGCACAATGATCACAGAGCACTATCGACGACAATCGGCCACCGTGTCGGCACAGCTATGGATACAGACACAACCTCCACTGATGTCTCACTATCCGGCTCGAAGGACCATGTACAGATCCCAAAAAATAGCCACTAGGAGATAGGGTTCATGAAATGAAACTCAACTATCAATTAGCAGTAGGAGTCAATAAGCATCGTATATTATGTAGAGAAACCTTATGTACTATTTGAAACAAATCTTTACAACGCGATATAAATAACACAAGCTATGGACAAAACGTCATCTAGTAAAAATAAACATAAACTAAATATTGTAAACAAAGTAATTGACAGATTTCATACACTATCCTATATAAGAAAAAGCATTTTGATGAATGCAATTATTTATTTATTTTATTCTATATTGCACCTAAATACAGTACAAAAGACGGGCTTAATGCTATTTGGCATTCTTTCGAGTAACCTTGGGTGGAGCAGAAAGTGAGTTTTGGGCAGTTAGGCATACAAATGTAATTACGATCAAATGCATAAATCCTAAACTTTAAACTTGTATAAATATAACTGGTTTTTCGGAGAAGGCTCTAACAAGAAAATTCGTTGAGGGTTGTCGATTTAAGTCGGGATCTTGTACTAACAGTAAACATTTTTTTACGGTATTATAAAACTAAGAACCACTAACTTTACCGACTTATTTTAGGTCGAGTGCGACTTGGAGTTCCTCGGTTTAGTTATTTTGGAGAATCGACTGAAGGCAGCCACTACAGGCATTATAAGGGAGCTGAAGGAGGCCAATATACACGTGGTGATGATAACAGGTGAATATTTGTCATCATTCACTACCTTAACGTAGTAAAGTAGCTAAAACATACACGTACCTACAAGAACTTCGTGTCCTACAATTTTTTCGCCGTCAGCAATATATATTCTACAGTATTCGGCGTTTGATTTGACACATCGGGTACAAGATACAAGATAGACACGTTTTTTAGGTTTTCGTATAGTGCCATCTATGTTGATCGTCAATAATTTATATGCAGATACGTCCGTCATTTTTACAGCACTTTGTGCAACAAATAGCAATGTTCCATTTTTTTTAGAAAAATTTCTATTTAATAATAATTATAAAATAAAAACCTATGTAAGTTTTTATTAATATAATATATATTATTATATTAATAAAAACTTACATAGGTTTTTATTAAACAGAAAGTATACTATATTTTTTCGGTAAAAAATAAGGTTGCCAACCGCCTACCAAGAGTGTCAACTTTGAAAAAATCCCTCCAATGAACAAATTCACATAATAGTGGAGGTCTTTGTTGAGCAGTGCACTTTTGATAGATTAAAATCAGTTTTCTCGATGTGACGTATCGAAATGATGGTTAAGGAAAGTAATTTTGACACTTCAAAAAATTATCGAAACATATCATAATATTATTTCCCTACATTGAAGTCCTTCCAACCGTACGTCTTAAGTACCCATTTGGCTTCTAACGTGTAGCTATTAACAGTTTTTACGTGACTTTGTATCTAATTCTACGGTCCGTACAAAAAAAAGCAACTTTTCTTAGTTCGTTAGTCCTTAGGTGTGACAAAGCATCTGATTAGGTATCTTTTGGTCACAGCATCCACTTACATACCATCAGGTGAACTGTGTGCTCGATTGTCACCCATATGAATGTTTTTGCTTTTAGGCGATAATGTCCATACTGCAGTGAGCGTCGCAAAGGAATGTGGCATACTGGCGAGTGGAGAGAGGGTCGTGCACATACTGCCACATACTGACGCGCAAGGCACTAGACTCTATTGTGAAAGCACTCTACATGGGGTAAGATATTACTTAGTACTTTATTCTTCTCAGCAGACCGTAAACAGTTTGGATTTTGGACATGGGCCACTCCCACATGGACGATTTGCAGCAGTACTACTAATTACAGTCTACGTGAGGCTGATCGGTGATTTATGTATCAGATGTTTCACACTTGATGTTTCCGTCACCGATGTGAATATATTACATCAGATTTATTATACGAGATAGTTATATTTTTTTTGCAGTTTGTCTATGCCCTTTTTATATAAGGTGGATTTTTTTTTAATAGAAAATGAATAGAGAAATGGAAAAGATAGTTTAAATAAATTTCACATGTATATATGAAATTTATAACTATATAATAAATTGTCAAATTCAATATAGAAAACATAATGATTATATATTATTTAGTATGCTGGTTTAAAACAAGACTACGTTTAGAATTGCAATACCAAACAAAAACATCACGGCAGTAATACATACTACATAGAGCAACACGGGCCACGGGCGGACCGGAGGGGATTAGCCATACGCAGGCGTTTCCCTCTGTCAAAGTACAAGTCCACGCAGTTCTATGCGTACAATAAAACTATAGTTTTTTTTTAATAGTTGCAGCCGCACTGCTTACTAGACTAAAGCTAGTTGCGCGGCCGACGACCTACAAAAATGCCGAATTTTTTTTTTGCGACAAAAGAGATCTGCCTCGTCATATTTACAAAAAAATGTTGTTATTACTTTCATATATAAGTAATTTTTAATCAGATTATTCCTATTTACTTATTTTTTTTTCTTTAAAAAAAAACATTCCCACACTAGGATTTTCTCCTGTATCGTGGAGGCAGTTTACAAACATAAATTGCAAAAGGACAAACATCCAGACCCGGAACAATTATTTGTAGGCCATACAAATACTTGTTCCGTGCGGGATTTGAACCCGCAGCCCCAAGCGCTGGAACTCATTGCTAAGCCACTGCGCCGTCAAACTTAAATATTACATTAATAACATACTTTTGAGGTAGTAGTATATACATAGATTGGCTTATATAGCATTTTTTTATTTTGCGTCTTGTACAGGTACCAGTGGGACGCAGGACTGATCTGGAGCAATTTTGCTCATGGCGCAGTGAAGACAGCGGACGGGGCTCATGGCAAGGCTCGAGTTCTGCAAATTTTGGCGCCAATGATCTAGAGTCTTCTATCCAGTTACCTAACTATAAGATAGTTATGACTGGCGATGTTTGGCGGGTAAGGTTTTAGTGAGCATTGTTTGGCTTATATGAGTGAGATATTTATTTTATTTGATAAAAGGTTTACGACGAGTACACAGACGGTCTGCTGGTAAGTGGTTTTCTGTATTTCATAAACACATATTTTGTATGAATATAATATAATAAAAGGAATTGATTTAATAATAATGTCCAGCCCGATTAATTAAGTTGACTTTTTACAGCCGTTAACGCAAAGAGAAAATTAAAAATGAATAAAATCGACATCAAGAACAATCAACGTTGAGATATCAATGGTCTAGAAGACAAATGTATTAATTACATGGATTGTAATTTTTCAGGAGAGCAGATTTTTTTTATAGGAGAGGGCAAACGAGCATGCGGCTCACCTGATGGTAAGTGACTACCGCCGCCCATGATAAAATGCAACAGCACCAGGGGAATAGCAGATGCGTTGCCGGCCTTTTAAAAAGGAGTAGGCTCTTTTCTTGAAGGTCCCTAAGTCGTATCGGTCCGGAAAATTCGCTGGTGGTAATAGATTCCACATGGAAGTTGTGCGAGGATGAAAGCTACTAAATCGCACAGTGGTGGACCGCCAATCATCCAGGTGGTATGGATGGTATCGCCTGTTTGGCGCGATGTGCGATGGTGAAATTGAGAGGCTGGAATTAGTCCGAACAATTCCTCAGAGCAGTCCCCGTGGTAGATGCGATAAAATACGTAAAGAGATGCAACATCTCTATGCAGTGCCAGTGATTCAAGCCGATCGGAAGGAACTCGATCGTCGCTGATTCATACCGCTCTGCGCTGGATGCGGTTAAATGGAAGGAGCTGGCACTGGGGAGCCCCAGCCCAGAGATGGGAACAGTATTCCATATGAGGCGGAACCTGCGCCTTGTAAAGTTGCAAGCTCTACTTAGCACGCCAAGCTTTTTAGAGGCCAATTTGGCCTTCTCTTCCAAATGACCACGAAACTGCACAACACTTGATATGTCGACACCGAGGATTCCAGTACTGGCTGAGGCAACAAGGGGAGTGCCTTGAAACTGAGGAGATACGATAAAGGGGTTACTTTTAGCCGTAAACGCGCAAACTTTTGTCTTATTGGGATTGAACTGGACTAGATTTAGTCGCCCCCAGTCCGAGACTTTGTTCAACAAAGTCTCGACTTCAGATGCAAGTTTGATCCGGTACTCGGCGACGTTTTCCAGAGAAATATTGGCACGACCGGTGTATAAAGCATCACCAGTGCTGTCGTCTGCATAGCTATGTATGTTACCAGTTTGCAACATATCATTGATATGCAGAAGAAACAGCGTTGGTAATAGCACGCAGCCTTGTGGAACACCAGCGTTAATAGGCTTGTAATCCGAGCATGCATTGTCTACTACGACCTTGATGCTTCGATCTGCAAGAAAACTGGTGATCCAATTGCACAATTTCTCGGGAAGCGCATAGGAAGGAACCTTTCAAAGAAGCGTTTTGTGCCAAACCCGATCGAAGGCCTTTGCTATGTCGAATCTAACGGCCAACGCCTCCCCTTTGAACTGCACTGCCTTCGCCCATCTATGAGTTAGGTAACTTAGATCACCAGCCGAGCGTCCTCGACAGAAACCGTACTGGCGGTCACTAATCAACTGGTGATCCTCCAGGTATCGCATGAGCTGGCAGTTAATAATAGTTTCCATTACTTTGGAGAACAAGGAGGTGATTGCGATAGGCCTGTAGTTGGATGGATCTGAGTGGTCGCCGTTTTTAGGGATCGGGTGCACCAAAGCTGTCTTCCATGAATTCGGGACTACGCCTAGGGAGTAGGAGTACCGGAAAAGACGCGTTAAAACCGGTGCCAACTCCGGAGCACACGTCTTCAGCACAATAGATGGGACCCCCCGTCATCAAGAGTCGAGTTGGAAGCAAAAAGAGAGCCTAGCAGATCGGCTTTCTCCTTTGCGTCATGAGCCGGTGAGTCCACCGACCCATGACGTATCTCTGCACTGAGATGGCAGAGATGGTTGACAAAAGTTCCCTTGGACAGTCTTGGCGAGAGACCAGAATGCACGTGTTCCCGAAGGAAGGCGAACTAGTTTCTCGCCAATTCTGCCAATGTGCTCTGACTTTGACTTGGCAATGACACTTTTGAAGGACCTGGAGGCGGAATAATACTTCTTTTTGTTGTTTTGTGTTTACATCGTTGATGCGTCAGCCCAGGCTTGGTAGCACTTCTGCTTATACCGTGATGCAATTTTACAGGAGCGACCAAACCATGGCTGAGTTCTGCCTCCGATAGGAACCACAGATGATGGAATAAATAATTCCATTCCCTGAAGTACCACATCAGCGACAGAATTAGCAACAACGTTGGGATCATCCGGCGAGAAACAAATCCGCCCCCAGAGGTAGGATGCAAAAAAAGACCGCATCTCATCCCAGTCGGCCGACCTATAGTGCTAAACACGGCGGCAAGCTGATCGCAACTGCGATGGGAGCGTGAGTGGCACCGTACTCCGATCGACTCCCGATCAGACAATGGTCCTAAGAGCCAAGAGGGGCATCGACGGAGATCTGATATCCGTCCGGATTAGAGGTCAGCAGAAGGTCCGACAGGGAAGGTACATGATTATCCACATATAGGATCTGCGGACCATAGAATGGACAGGTCCGTACATTCAAGACTACCGAGGCGTCGCAAACACATGTCCTCTCTGATATACACGAAAACTCCAGCCCGGGGCACAAAGGAGTGTTCTAATTTGTACCCCGGGTAGGAGAGATACGAAGTATCAGCCGGAGAGGACGCCTGTGTCTCGTGGTTAGAAACAGCAAGGCCGGTTTTGCTGTCTCTAGATGGTAAAGGACACCCCCCCCACCCCCAGAAACGCGGGTCAGCCTGAGCACCCACGCTCAGAAAAAGTAGGGTAACTTAGGCGTGGATGCTCAGCAAGGGATTTTCCGTCACCAGGGGTGCTGGTGCCCTCTTGGGGTAGTCTTTTATTTAACTCCGCTACCATGTTAAGGGGGGAGGGGGATTAAAGATTATATAAATTATAAAATTTCACTCGTTAGTAGATATGTGAAGCTGAGTAGTGTAACATATCTTATACTTCTGTTATTAGTTAGGGTGTTTATTTGTTTATACAATTAATTTTAAATTATTGTTCTCTACTATAAAAAGTACTGAGAAATACTCAGTAACATGAAAAATTACATTCATTTAATACTTTCGATCATTATTTTGTTATTCAGTTGTTCACTTAGTGCATTTGTGTATAGCATATGATTTTCAATTATTATGTAATTATTACAAATTAAAGTAAAATTTATTATATTAATATATAATTTATTTTTATAATGTTCCACCTAAATTGTAATGTAAATAAGGTTGGTACCTTATTTATTTTAGGTTTTAGGTCTCAATTGCCAATCATTCATTATAAAACACTTGAAGTTTGTGTGAATTTCAATACTCACAGATTTAATACTCATGGCATTAAAAAGTGAAAACCACAAAATTTTGCATTTAGCACGTTTGTCTTCTAGACCAATATGACATTACCATTCAGACTTCGAGCATAGTGTTATCTGAAGCTCGCTGAGCAACTGAGTTTCGTTAGTCATCATTACTGGTAACACAAATAGTAAGTGACATAGCCCAGTTAATCAGAAAGCTGAAGCATTGATATGGGCCAGCCAATATAGTTGGTACAACCGACAACTGATTTGAAGAAAGGTTAGTGAGTGGTAGCTCCAGACCAGTAATTGAAATGTTGGTCGACTCCCTCACTAAATGGAGTGTGGACTTGATGAACATGTAGGGAGCTAGGGAGTCTTATGTTTAAGGTTTTGTTTTTGGTGGCAGATCGTGCGCGAGCATTACGCGGCAGCAGTTCCGCGGCTGATCGCCAGGGGCGCTGTGTTCGCGCGCATGTCGGCCGACCAGAAGCAACAACTCATACTCGAGTACCAGGCGCTCGGCTATTACGTGGGTCAGTACTTTCTTTTTCTTCATCAGCCCCTAAACCTCCACTGGGAAAGATTTGCCTTAATTGTCAAGCTTTGTAGGTATATTGACAACGCAGTACCAGGTGTGTAAGTACCTTGGACTCTGCTTCCCGTTGTTGGTCTGGTCATGTAAGTCCGGCATAAAAATGGTTATAGCGCCATCTATCGGTAGCCGTAAGACGCATCTACGACATTACCCATTAATGCTACAGCAATAATTATACAATGAAGCGTGACTCTACCGCGTAAAAACTATTTTCGTTGAGGTTAACTGCAATAAAAACAAAGTTACAGCCTTTAATGTTTCACTATTGTGGAGTGGCGGCCGATAGAAGGCTGTGTAGTGTCGGCCTAATGGAATCCACTACCCGATATCGTCCTGTGGGTGTTGTATGACGCGGCAGAGAGAATCTGAAACAGGAGATGATACCCAGCAGCATTTTTCTGTTCACAGGTCAAAATAATAAAAAAAACTACAGTTGCTAACATGATTGCCAAGCGTCGCTTCTGAGGCGAACCACCTCTATGGGGAGGCCTTGATTCAGAAGTGAACTTTTGCAGATGCAATGATAATGATGATGATGACTAGTTGGCACAGGTCTCGTCTTATATCTCAGAGGTTTAAAACATTTATGGTCCGCCACGCTGCTCCATTGCATGTAGGCAGACGTCACGTGTTCTTGAAATATTTTCTTCTCTAAATATGCAGGTTTCCTCAAGGTGTTTTGTATCACCGCTAGCCACTTGCAATAAAGAACAAATAAATATGTATATAGTAATAAATTTGAGACCAATAAATAATATTTTTTTAGTGATCGCCGTTTCGCATTTATAGTGACCATGCTTGGCAACCAAATGCCAAGCATAGTGATTACGAAAAAACCAGTTTAGATGAGAGAGATGAAGAATAAACGTATAAATTGCGTATTGGCAGGCATGTGCGGTGACGGTGCGAACGACTGCGGCGCGCTGCGAGCCGCCCACACGGGCATCTCGCTGTCGGAGCTGGAGAGCAGCGTCGCGGCGCCCTTCACCTCCACGCAGCCCGACATAACTTGCGTGTCCCACATACTGCGCGAAGGTAGAGCCGCCCTAACGACAAGCTTCGGCGTCTTCAAATTCATGATAGCTTACTCCCTAACGGAGTTTTTCTCCGTCGCCTTTCTCTATTACTTCGACTCAAATCTCACAGACTTCGAATTTCTATTCATAGATGTCGCCCTAATCGTCAACTTTGCTTCCTTCTTCGGCGTGACCGAGGCGTATACGGGAAGGCTTTGCAAAATCCCACCCCTAACTTCCTTATTGGGTATCGTTCCTTTAGTATCATTAATAGGTCAAATGGTTCTGATAGGCCTCGCACAGTATTTGAGCTATTTAGCGCTGACGTTTTTTCCCTGGTACGTGCGACATACGTACGAAGGGGAGGAAGAGAACGAATGTTGGGAGAACTACGCAATTTACACAGTTTCTATGTTCCAATATATAATTTTGGCGATCGTGTTTAGCCATGGCGCGCCCTACAGACGATCTGTGATAACAAATAAACAACTAATGGTTAGCGTGTTAATTATGACGGCCATCTGTGTATATATAACTATGGCTCCACCGCAATGGCTGTCGGAGTTCCTTCAACTAAAAATGCCTAAAGACAACTTAATGTCGTACATCGTACTGGCGCTGGCCTCGTTTAATTTCGTCTTGGCTTTGTTTTTCGAAAGGGTTATTGTACAGTATTTGATGGAGGAAAAGGAAATGATACCAAAGTGTGTTAAGGAAAAGAGAGTGAGGAAAACACCTCACTTGATGATTAAACGCCAATTGACTGACACAGACTATTTGGACTGCGAAAGTATTGTCAAATGTGATAAGGAGACTAAAGATCTGTCCGAGTTTAGTTCTATTCAGAGCAGCCAATGAATTTCATGTAGGTAAAATTTTAACGAATTTAAATTTATTGTTTTTGTTTTAGAATTTAGAATATATATTGAAATACTAAATCATTTTTGCAAGTAGTTTTTAAGTATGCTAGCTGAATGAAATTATTATTATTTTCTATTTAGTTCATTAAGAGATTAGAAATTAATGTGTTTAGAAGGCAATTATTTGAATCTTATGAATTACAAAACTTCAGTATTTTCACCTCTGCATTTTAAGTAATTTTTTGTTTCATAATAATATAATAATCATGTTATATTACTTTAATACTATGAACATTTCCGTTTTTTCTTATTTTTAATTGTATTTCCTCTATAGCTAATGATTTTTTTTTACTATTCCTAGTATTAGTATTAAGAATATTGTGATAGAGATTAACGTACACGTAATAAGTGCCTTAATAATTTAGAATAATATTGAAACATTCCAAATAACTACGGTGCTATATTCTATGATAATACAGTGCCTTTTGTCGACAGTAGAGAGATTTCTCTAGTGATTGTTTAAAGTTAAATATTATAAAATATTATAAAAATGACATTCATGTTGACAGTTTATAATGGGCCACCTAGTGGTTAGAATAGTTATGTACTTATTTTTGTTATAAATATAACTCCACTTCCATCTCCTAGAGATTGTTAAGTTGTTGAAGTGTTAAGCTTTGAAATGCTGAATTAAGTATAATGCAGCAATATTACTTAGTGAAAATATTTAAATAAATGTTTAATCTTTAATTTAATTATATACAATCTTAAAAACTATAATAATAAAAAAAAACTAAAACTAGAAGCTTAATTATCATATAGTCCTACTCCCCGCGGTATGGTGCCAAGAACGCTGGCTGCGTTTCCCCGCTGAATGGCTATACTTAGCCTTTGAGCGAGAAAATAACCAGCCCTCTTATCACCAGCAGTAACGACCAGCCGCGGATGGAGTTCCTTTAGAAACTTCACCGCACGTGGACCCCACGGACCGATAGTGTCTACAGCAAATGGCACAAATATGTAGTCATCCCGATACCGCCCCGGTTCTGAACGAGGTACCCCTGAGATGAGAGGCCGCCAGAGGAACAATGTTAATTAACAGTGGTAGAGCCACGCGGCAGCTTTTGCTGTCGCGCGGATGGGCCGGCTCGAACCGGGGTGGTACCACGACCTCACAGAAAACCAGCGTGAAGTAGTGGTTTACCTCTGCGTTTCGCTTGGTGAATGCAGGTGGCCGGAGGCCCTTTTTACTGGAAATGAGGCATTCCATCTTAGTCCTCACGGGTGACAACGCATCTACATTTTGATTGTTATAGAGGATAGATATAGATGTCTATGGGCCGCAGCAACCACTTACCATCAGGTGGACTGTGTGCTCGTTTGTCACCCTTATCCTATAAAAAAATAACAATGTTTAATTATGATAACTTTGAATAGGCTATTACATACTCGTGCTTTTTCTTTACCTTTTCTGAACTCGTGCTTTCTCTTTCCCAACTGTCAAAATAATGTCAATTAAAAAGAAAAAACCAACTACGAAGTTTTTACTAAAAAAAAATTCATATAATTTTTATGATTCATGCAAATATTTCTAAAAAGAAGCTACTAATTTGTTTCAATATCAGATTTAATGATTTGAATCAATGAGTTAGGTTAGGTTTTATTTCATTTCATCTCATTAAATTTCATTTTCATTTCATCAATAAAAAAATTCTACTGAAGACTTGACTGTATGGGCATAGTTCCCTTTGCCTACCCAGAATGGGTGAAGAAAACAAAAAAAATCTCTGCTTATATTCTTTTACGGTTGGCGCCATTTTCCAAAAATGTTCTTTATTAAATTGCTTCATTTTTTCGCAACTGTATTAAAAATAGTTGTTCAGTACACGTGCGGAACCGTCATTGCAACTTGTTTCGACTGTCAACCCTCACCTACGGCTGCGCCTCGGCTCGGGTAGACATTTGTCGGAACTCTTTGCAATAACAGGCTTTCCGCACTCGTAATGAAATATATTATTTACTGTAATTTATAAACATGATTGTGGCATGTTGCAATAAATGTTTCTTTCTCTCTTTGTAATTCTTAAAGTGGCCTTATAAGGACTCTACTTATGTACAATATAATGTTACAAAAATGACGACCTAAATAAAGTTTTCCATCAAAACAAAATCTTTGAAATAGTTACCTTAATTAGTATTTTTATTTAGAGATTTGTATTGTTTTTATTTTACAATTAGTCCAACAAATATTAAGTAATATTTGTGTATAATGATTAGTACAAATATTTAAAAAGCATTAGTTGGATTATTATTGAGCAATTATAAATATTTTTATGATATTAAATCCAAACACAATTTGTATTACAATGTAATATAAGAAGTGTTACAGTTAAGTCGTCTAACGGCTGTCCTTAAAATATAATTAATGTTGTGTCATTTAATGGTATAGCACAAAACAATTTATGAAATAAATGTGTTACGAAAATAATGTGTTTTGTTTACTCCGAATTTTTGCTTATTATTAAAAATATATCATTGAAGTACACACATAATTATCAACATTTTACTGTTTTTTGGTAATTAAGTCATTAATTACTTTTACTGTTATTTGGTATTAAGACATTAAAAAATGTTAGTAACTTAAGAGCCCTCTTACATTTCGGCGTTTCGCAAATTTAGGTATTTTAAGCACCGAGCGGGCAGCGAGCTACGCGACCGATACTTTCTTTATCTATTCACTCGCTCCCACTATAATACTGTGAGGAGTATGGCGATTATCTTAATCTTCCATTATACAAGTTGAAGGATGAACTTCAGTCGATGGAAATTTGTTTGGTGTGTCATTTTAATGTTATCTTATTAATTTATTATTATATAATTTATTATTATATACCATTTTGATATATTTTTCATTATTTATGAAATTTAGTGTCAAAATAAGTACACATAAATATTTTAATTGTTACGCCGTAATCGAATGTTAATAATCGATTATGTCTACTACCGATAGAATAGTGGTATAAATAAATAAATAGTATGGTTGCAACCTGTTTTAATAAATAAAACAACCAAATGTAACTAATATTTTTTAATCAGTACTTACAGTCAATTACCATATTTTTTTATTAGAAAAATATTTGCTGCGACGGCATTGACCGAACTTTTCTCGAAACGATAATTTCAGGCAGTACACACACTTTTCATAAAAATCTTGTAACTTGGGTAACATATTGAAAATGTAAAATTGGTCGTCTTTGTAAATTTTTAGTACTTTTACTGCATAACCTGGGCCAGTACATATTATGGCAAGTATTCAGACATTTTTATTTGCTAAATGAAGCTGGCCTTGGATTTGGTAAAACCAGTCATGATTTTGTGGTTTCAACTCCCTCAGTTGCCCCGACAGAAGTCGACTGGACTAGGGCCCATGAGTAGCCCACTCGACGGGCAACCAGAGGGTTCGGGCCCAAATGGCCTATGGATAATTATTATGTATTGGCTGGATAAACGAACACAAACTTACCGAGTTCCGGAGATAGGGTCAACCACAAGGTACCGTCAGGGGTATGTAGGTGGGTATAAGTGGTGTGAGTAAGGGTGTAAATGTAACCTGACGTCACCGATGTAATCGGGCAGCAGGCCCACATGCGCTGCTCTGCTCCACAACGTGCGATCACTCCAGTGGGCGTTCACCTTTATGTGAACTCAAATCTAACGTCACTTAGCACAAAATTATAATCGAAGACGAACGCGATCTCCTCTCGGGTCACAAATTTTTAGCATTCTAACCGACAAGGAAAAATGTCTTCTTACGATATTAAAATGCCACACAAGCAACTCGTCGACGCAAATTAATGGCAATCGAAGTTAAGTTAATCACTCAAAACTCGAGAAAAGCCTCGTTATCACGTAAACGCACGAAAAAGACAACGCAATAAGAGGCGGTCTTCACGCGACCTAACGATTCGAGCGTAACTTGAAGACTCATAAGGACACGGCCGCCGCGGGTAAAACGAGTGCCCGCCGGCCCAAGCCGTCAAACCGGTTTATCGCCCACACTTCAGGCGACCGAGGGTGAGCGGAGAGACGCGCGCAGGAAAGGGGGCCAGGCGGTGACCTAAATACCATCGGATGAACGCGCCGAGACAAGCGTTTTGAATGCAAGTTTTAAATGTTAAGATTTGGCTTAAATAAACCCCCGTCCCGGGCATAACGACTTATGTCCGCGAGTAAATTGGCAAACGGGATACGGTCGCGACGGCACGTTGCAAGACCGAATCTCCAACCAAAACCTCGGCCACCTTAGGCACCCCATCCGATCCATACCACAACTTAACAATGCGCCCACGGTGCCAATACAAAGGCAAAGCGTTGGGTTCTTTAACTAACACGAGGTCCCCAACCCGAGGAGGATCCGTCTTGTCAGACCACTTAACGCGTTGCTGCAAAAGATGTAGGTACTCCAGAGACCATCGGTGCCAAAAACTCAGAGTCATCTGTTGCAGCATGTCAAATCTGCTCAACCGCGAAGAGTTTATTTCCCTGAAGGGGCACTCGGGCAGGGCGTTAAGCGGCTGGCCAATCAGGAAGTGGCCCGGGGTTAGGACCTCCAAATCGTTCGGATCGGACGAGAGGGGTACACGCGCCAAAGTCGGACCTATGGTACACGCGCCAAAGTTTGACTCGTGACAGAAAATGTAAGCACGGCTTTAACTGAAGTACAAATTATTTTTAAAAGGTATTTACCATTGGCACTTATTTGTATTATTTACCTTGTTACATAAATGTATTATTTACCCTTGATACGTTATTGGTAAGACATGCAGGAAGTCGATGGATGCAGGTGGCTCAGGACCGTGCTTTGTGGCATTCCTTGGGGGAGGCCTATGTTCAGCAGTGGACTTATGAAAGGCTGTAATGATAATGATGATGATGATGATGATACATAATTATTCTTCTTATAAATAAGTTTTGTATTTTTACTTGTAAACTTTAAAT